AAGGGTGGTATCTAGGGCTGGGCATTTTCGAATACCTGATGATTTCAGAATCGAAATAATAATTTCGGAAATAATTTTTTCGAATCGAATCGAATCTCGAATACTTGGGAGATATAAAATTGTATGTAACCTTTTTATTGTATTAGGTTCCTCAGACACATAAATTACTGAAAACAGAGGCAGATTGCTGAGCGTTCACACACAATAAAAACACGTTTTCATCAATAACTCACTACAGAAAAAAGTCATATGTCAGAATATCGTTGAAAAAATATGGCTCCAATAGAAAAAATTGAGAAATTTACTTCGACCATTGGCGAAAGGAAAAAAACAAGATGGCGGCGATTCGAAATTTCGCTCTGAACCGATTCGAATAATTTCATATTCGATTCGATTCGAATATTCGATTCGGAATGCCCAGCCCTAGTGGTATCGTATTCGACATAAATGAAAATCTTCCATCCCCGATACATTATAGAACGGTTTCAAGCGGGGTTCCATGGCCCGAAAGTTTTCATTCAAATCCTAGAGTCTATAATAATGTATGTATAATGGGTAATCATACCTAGCACAAATAATAAGTATGATACACTTTAAAGATCATTTTGTTTTACGAGTATTGAGTTTGGATTTTACATATATTTACAGTTTATACAACCAGACAATTAAACTATAGCACATGGGTTTTTCGACCATAGCGTCCTGGTCCTACATATAGTAATACATAGCCAAACCCTAAGTTACGACTCGGCTTTCCCGTCCCGACAAGAAAACACAATCTTACTATAAAATACTGGAAAAGGTGAGCGTAGTAGAGCTCTCGTCAGTTATACACTTTATAGTGCATTAGCACATACATAATAAAATGAACCTAAGCCCTGAGTTACAGCTCAACTATTCTGCCTCAGCAAATAAAATCTTACAATATAAAAATTACCTGTTGGCTATCAAAAAATGTAGCAACGACGTAACGATCATGTTGAACCCAAATTATCGCAGGAGGGCTATAGCACATATATAATGAAATATAAGTAAATAAAACTTGTTCTGTAGCCTGGAATAATGCAGCCCAAAAGTCATACTTTTGTAAGGTAAATACTCCTGGAAATATCCCAAGGTGCAAAAGCGCATGTATACAATGTAACCCCCAAAAACAGAATCCATAACTTTTCTTGATTACTGCTACGAAAATGTATTTAATACTTGTTAAAATTTAATTAAACGGAGTCTACGACGGTTTGCACGAAAATATGTTCCAAATGAACTCTGTTTTGTGTCACCCTATTTCAGATATAGACACTCAAACCCTGATTCATGACTCAAATATCCTGCCCGACAAGTAAAATATAATATTTGGCACTAACGCTTACCTAGCGGTTTCAAAAGCACCTGTTCAATTAGCGACGTATACCACCACAAAATATGCTTCGTACTCTATCTCGTTGTTTAACGAACTACCCTATTACACAAGTACCAGATAACCTGTTCTGTGTTAAATATGGGCCGTTCATGGGTTCAGTCTAACTTACACGATTTATATCCTGCCCTTGTTTGGTAGAACTACTGTAACGGGACTCGACAACGATTATTTGCAAAGCACCTCGATACTATTGACTTACTCAATGCATTCTGTATTATGACAAAAGAATTGAATTCAATAATACGTACCATTGTGACGGTATTGTCGTCTGGCGATGTTTACGAACATAGAAAAACTGCATCGGACATTTCGCTCTTTCGGTTGTCGAAGGCAATTTATGGTCTGAATTATCTTTAAAGATTTTACTGCTAAATTTCGAGAATATATATATTTTTATCATTGTACTTTGAAAATCTCAATTTATTATTTGTGTCTATCATTTTGACGGGCAATGATGGTCAGTTCTGTCTATTACAATCGCCTGTCAATTGTTATGAAGTCTCCTATTGAAAATGGCAATGATTTGTGTTTAATTGCATTAATTAACAGGACAATTATTTACATATTACACCTTGATTACACATCAAACTGGCCTTTTGTATGCCAGTGCAACAGCCCTCCAACGGAGGAGACCGCTCAAATGGCGATTGGGTATGTATACATTATCGTTTCAAATCTAACTTCAAAGTTTTCTCGCTTTCTTGGTTTTGAGTCTTTTTTGAGACCTCCTGAAGTATGCGCACCAAGATGGCGCACAACCTGAACTCAGGTTAGGGTTCAGATTATGCGTTTTGTGGCATTGAAAATGGTAATTGGGTCGTCATATAACTACACCTGGCCTGTTGTCTATATCAGGGATGAGCAAGGTTTTTGCACCGCGAGCCAAAAATTTTGCCCACCTAGATTGGCGGGCCATGTGAGTAGGTGTGATGTAAAAGTTACATTTTATGAACAATATTTACAGTGTTACAAAAGCATAAGTGAAATAATAAGCCTCGTGCTAAAACTAAGTTTAATTGCAATATCAACAAATTTCTTAAAATAATTATTAGTTGAAACATCAAAATTTGGTTTTACTTTGGCTGTGGCAGCATCAGGCGGGCCAAATTGAATTACCCAACTGGCCGGATTTGGCCCGCGGGCCGTAGTTTGCCCACCCCTGGTCTATAGGGTACTTCTGAAATATGCGTACCAAAATGGCGGGCACTGGAACGTAGTATGTGTACTAGGCTAGAGTTAGGCCATAATTTTATTTCAGGTTTTTTATTTATTTTGGTTCTATTACGAATTCGGGGACTAGCCAAGTGACTCCAGTAGTATTTGTAGCTGAAATTATGGCCTAACCCTATCCTGGTACACATACTACGTTCCGGTGTCCGCCATCTTGGTACGCATACTTAAGGAGTTCCGTCTATATAGCAGCCCAACGGCCACTACAGAAGAGGCCATTCAAAAGGCGATTGGGACCATAAATTTATCACTAACCTGTTGTTCAGATGGTAGCTCAATGGCCATTCAAATAGCGACCATATATTTATACCAAGCCTGCTGTGTATGTGGAAGCCGAATAGTCACTACAGATGAGGTCATGGAATCGATAATTGGGACTACCGGTATATATTTCCCCATTTCCAAACATAATGTCTATATAACATAGTTAAGGCCATTGTGTTTCTGTTTGAAAATAAGCAAGCACACTCGTTAGCGTTTAAAATCTAAGTTTAAGTTTTGCACGCCTTCTTGGTTATTCAGTCTCTTTTTGTGGCATCGCCCTTGTTCTCTTCTGTGAAGACAGGGCGATCAATTTAAACTATCATTATTCATTTAGTTACCATTGTATGCGCAAGTCTCACGAGGTGGCGAGTACACCGATGATCAGCCTCAGTTCAATAGCCCATTAGCGAACTCTAGCGGCATTTATTTTTGTTGTCAAATAAGTTGCAGAATAAGATTTACAAGAGAGCGGTGCAAGACATTCAGGCTAGGATAAGAATTTTATACTTTCTCGTGAATATGAAAGTTGATAAGCCGGCTTAATCATATGGCGTACCACGGCCTCTCATTGTGTTACAAGTCTGTGTCGATTATGCAATGGGGCCAATATGCAATTATCCAGCGCGGCGGTGTGGCTCAACGGGCTAAGCGTTAGGAATACGCTCGCCACCGCACCTCTAATTACTCTGCGTTGGTTCGCAGGTTCGAATCCCATGCAGGGATGGTTATGTGCGAGAGGATTGCTGGACGCCTCGCCGTCGTTGGGTGGTTCACGTAACCGCTGGTCGGTTACGGCTTCCTCCACCACCAAGTCCATGCTTCCGAAAACAAAAAATACAGTAAAAACTAATCCCATACCGGACTTGGAATGGTAACCGGACGAGAGGCCGTGGTTCGCCATATGGATAAGCCGTCTTATCGGCTTTCCTCTCCCCCGGGATAAATAAGTAAATCCTATCCTATCCAATAATGGCGCCCATAGCAAAGTTTAAAATTTTTTATAAATTCAGGAAAAGTACTAATTTCGGTACTCACGTAGTATGTGAACCAAGATGGCGGACACCGGAACGTAGTATGTGTACCAGGTTGGGCCATAATTTCAGGTACACATACTACGGAAGTCACTTGGCTAGTCCCCGAACTCGTAATTGAACTAAAATAAGGAAGATCAGAATAAAATTATGTCTTAACCTGTACACATACTACGTTCCGGTATCCGCCATCTTGGTGCACATACTACGAGAGCGCCCTAATTTCAAATATTTCTAATTTTGCTGAACATAAAGTCGACTCATGTTCTTCAAATGTTTTCGGTGGGCGGGCGCGTTTTTAACTTTGTTTTATGCTCGTCCTCCAGTTCCTCTGCATTCTGTTTGACCATTTGTTATTGTTTTGTCATATGTCAGTGTGCCCAAAATAAAATTGATTGGTTTACATTATTTTGAGGCATTTTTACGATTGAAACATTTGCCCTTTTTGCTCTCTATCCAAAAGGCTGCCATACCATAGATACGCCACTGTAGTTCATTTGATTTGTAAGCCAGTTATTTGTTTCAGATATATGGGTCACTCAACCAATATATGGGATTTACAACTCACGATCCGTTGAACCATACAGAAGTATGCTGTCGTATCACGCGCCAATAACCGCCGATCGACATGAGACCTAAATTGCCATGCAGGATAGGATCTACATATTTATCCCGGGGAAAAGAAAAGTCAATAAGAAGGCCCAATCATCATGGCGAACAACGGCCTCTCGTCCGGTTACCAGTCCATGTCGGGTATGGGATTAGTTAGCCGGTTATTGGTTTTCAGAAGCATGGACTTGATGGTGGAGGAAGCCGCAACCGAACAGCGGTTAACCAGCCTACGGTGGGGAGTCCAGCAATCTTCTCTCACACAATTTTCCTTGCATGGGATTCGAACCTGTGAACCCAAGCAGGGTAATCAGGGATGCGGTGGTGAGTGTATACCTAACGCTTGGCTTGATGCAACGCACCGCCGAGCCAGTTTGGCACAGTCTTCCCAATCTAGTATGTAAATAGCTGATTGACATAAAATCTGGCATCTAAATAAGCACAAAAACTTGTCAAAGAATTTATTACCTCAAATGATCACCAGATTTGCCCCACCAATACGTGATAAAGCAAATTAATAATGACTTATAATAGTATATATGGCTTATTTTGTGAGAATATCATCGCTGAATAGCAAGCAGAAAGTGGTGAAAGAAAGAATGGAAAACTGGGGCAGCTGAATGAAAGCACATTTGGACAATTTTTAACTGGAACGAAAAAAGCTGGCAAATTGATGAATTCAAATAATCAGGCTGTTTTTTGATTTATGCTACAATAACTCTGCAGTGAGTGCATATGAATTCGCTAACACTGCATTTCCCACTCTGGGTGGGAGAGGGTTGAATTTCACGAACAAGAAATTAACACTTTCCTCTGCATTTACTTGAAATTCTAAAAATGATTATTCCTAAAGAAAAGGCATACAACGAATGAAAAAATGTAGCCATGTTAACATGTGGTAAAATTGGTGGTTCTTGTAAGGTTTTTGGCGCTCCAGAAGTATGTGCACCAAGATGGCGCACAACCTGAACCCCATCCTGGTACACATACTATGTTCAGGTTGTGCAACATCTTGGTGCACATACATCTCCATTACAAGACAATACACCTTCTAGTACTCTGTATGTTAATTCAGGGCTTACAGAGAAATATTATGTTCGAAGAAAATCATATTATAATTGCTAATGAAGATCGCTATATAAAAAATTGACAATTCAAAAAAGGTAGTCCTGTTTTATGTCTCAAATTCGATGACGCACAAAACAAAAAAATGAGCTAATTAAAAAATAATTATAATCTCATTAGAGCCATAAAAAGGTGGTACAAGTTGAAATATGTATTATGCAATGTTTGGGGGGAGGGGGAAGTCCCTAGACCAGGGAAGGCCAAACTATGGCATGAGAACTACCCAGAGTCACATCGAATTACCCATGTTGAGGCAAGTATACCTGTTGGTCGAGTCTGAGCCTTTTCATTCGAATTGTTCGTGTCACTTTGATACACAATGACTCAAGTTCGAGACAAGCCGAGCCTCACAGCACTGTCATACAATGCTAAATATGTATGTATTTGCAGAAGATTGCGTATCGAAAAGTTTAGGAATCTCTAATATAAATAATTCCTAATGCATTCAAATATGAGAACTGCTTTGAACCCACAGCTCAATTGTGCTGTCAGCTTAGCAGAAGAGCAAGAATCCATTCCAAAAGTAAAAGAAAGTTTGAATTTAAATATTGTGAACTCTTTCAACGCTAGTGACTTTGAACACTTATATGACCCATACTCAGTAACTTTTTTCACAATGTTTTATCTTTTCTGGCTTTGCATACCAGATGACAGTTTGTCAATGTTTCAAATGTGACAAAATTTCTATTTGGCAGAAAAAGCGGCAAAAGAATGCTTAGAACCCTGACATTACAACAAAAATCTAAATACAGTCAGAAACTTGCATGTGATATGAGGGACCTATACAGAAAAATCAAATGAAAATTGTCTGCTATTTTCATATCAAGCGCTCAAAATGTTCAGTTTTCAAATGAAAATATATGTTTTCTCAATTTTAACATTTTGCTGTAATATATTGAATATTAAATATTCAATTTGTTTTAGGTATTTTTGATAGATAGCACATCACGTTTAGCTTAGGTATGCTCGCAAGAAGGTTAGCATTAAAGCTGAAACCCAAAGTAAAAGAAACTGTTAGAAAAAGAAAGATTCTAATCATTTCAGGGTGCTCCCAAAGTATGTGAACCAAGATGGCGGACATTGGAACGTAAACATGGGTAACAGGTTAGGGTTAGGCGATAATTTTTTTCCAATTTTCCTTATTTTAGTCCTATTATCAGTTCGAAAGCTAGCCAAGAGCCTCCCGTAGTATTTATAGCTAAAATTATGGCCTAACCCTAACTTAGTACACATATTACATTCCGATGTCCGTCATCTTGGTTCGCATACTTCGGGAGCCCCCATTTCAGAGACTTTGTACACCTGTGTAACTTATTATACAATACTATGAATGAAGTTTCATCATTTCTGACTTTGCACCAGATGACAAGTTTATCAAAGGTCCAAATTAGACAAATGAAGTTTCTAATTCGGACAAATCGGAAAAAATTCTTTGAAATCGTTGAGTACAGTTTTGGGTCTATCTTCGTTACTAGATTGACTGTTTTTAAAGAAACGCTTTTCACACACATGAGATCCAGAAACACTCTACACCCAAATGACTACAGCGCAACGGAAACAATTTTGGTACTCCTGAAGTATGCGCACCAAGATGTCGCACAACCTGAACCTCAACCTGGTACACACAACCTGAGTTCAGGTTGTGCGCCATCTTGTGCGCATACTTCGGAAGGTCCACACTTTTTACACAACCTAGTTTGGCTTTGCATACCTAGATGATAGCTAGCCAAGGGTGACACAATTTGATGCATTATGTTCCGCAGATATACTCAAGTAAATTACGCAAGTCCAATAAAAAGGTTCTGGACTTCAGTAGTAGCCAGTAGTAGCCAAAATTAGAAAAGGAAGGATATTCGCGGGACAGAGAGCGCCTGTAGATAATGATGTAACGATTGCAGTATCTAGTACGCAAAAAGAAAAAAAAACATTCGTTAAACTATTTCACTTATATTCAGCTGGCCATATTTGATCGTTACGTGGGCCGTAAATGAATACCCTGAGATCGCCACTGTATTGAATATTTCATCGACTCCACTATCCCGATATTGAATATTAAATAGACAAAAAACTGGAATTACTGGAAAAATGCATAGTTATTAAATTTGGTGCTTCGGAAGTATGTGTACCAAGATGATGCACAATCTGAATCATAACCTGGTACACATACTATGTTCAGGTTGTGCGCCATCTTGGTAAATATACTTCGGGAGCACCTTAAATTTGATTCGGTCTCTCCATATAAGTCAGTATCATAATTAATCTATAATCCCTTGCATGATTGCGTCATTAAGAAGCGCTCGAGCATGACTGATTTGCAGATGACAGACTATATGACACCATTGTGATTTCATAAAGCAGAAAAAACAATAATATAATGACGATGAACAACAGCCCCATCATGTGGCGCATTCTTCTCCGCATCCAGCGAGAATCGTTTTCAAGCCTCGATATCTGAAATTATTGAATATTTGTTAGAATGAGCTTGGGGGGGAGAGGAAAGCTGTAAAAAGGTGTAATCATATCACAAGGGGGCAATTATCCTATATAGCAGTGGATTCCAACCTCTGTGGCGCCCCCTGGGAGGCCTTGCTTGGGAACCGATACCGCTGAGAAAGGATTAAGAGGAAAAAAGCTGTTTTTGTAAAATGAGAGACATATATACTTTTGATTTTCAAACATCCGTAGTTTTTATCAAAGTACTTCAATGAAAATTGCTTCAAAAACTATTGCTATGAAAATATTTCAAAATTTATCATTCATTCACCCCTTTAATTAATGATGAGCTAATTTTTCTGAATCAATTGGTGAACTATGACCTCACAACCTTTAACCCTAGAAGTATAATCCACCTTACAATGGAATGACAGTTGGTAAATGAAATTGCCACCACTGTGTTAAGAATAATTTGAAGCAGAAAATTAGTAATTATGGATATTTGGCAAATCACAGGAGATAAACCAGATACATAGTGTTATGATTGTTGATCAATATAGAATAGCAATACTGTATTGCATACAGCCGTGGTTCTCAAACTGGGCGTCGTGCGTGGTTTCAATTTTGCTCAGGCGTCGCAACACTTTTCTTCTTTTGTGGATTTGTACCCGCGGTGCGTAAAAAAGTCAAAATTTTCGTTATTCTCGTTTTTATCATACTTGAGAACTGGAAATGGCAATATAATAATTATTGTAACGATCATTTTATCTAGGTGTAACCTCTAAAACATTACGAATCATTCAATACTGTTTCAATTATGATATCACACAGGCTGGATCAGATCGAGCCATGAATGTCATTCATTTCTAATTTCATGAACATGGACACCATCAAGTCCGCGGCAGTTCTCTTCAGGCAAAATTTGAACAAAACTCCAGGCATTTTGACGGGGAGTCGGAGCTTGGTCATATTTTTTGAAGGGCGTCGCAATACCAAGAAGTTTGAGAACCATTGACATACAAGGTTTGCCCAATTTTATATTAATAACAATTGTGAATTCAAATGAAAAAAATTTTGTATGATAAATGAGAACTACAAGCATAGTAAGAACTATTAATAAACAAAAAACAAGGAAATTTTTATTTAATTTAAGGGTCTTGCTGCACACTAACACAAATGTATTTTTCTATAACGTTTACCAAGGTCGGACTTCCTCAAGAGAAACGTTGCAAAATATACATTTGTGTTAGTGTGCTGCAAGACTCTTGAATTGAAAAGTAATTTTCACACTTGCTACAGCATCCTTGCAATATACGCATACAGAACCACCTGCGCAAAGGCATAGAGCAAGAAAAGGTAGTTAGTTTCCCATAACCCCAACAGTTATATTGAAGAAATTTTTAATTGTTATCACAAAAATGTTGGGCGAAATTTTTCGGACATCTCGAAGCCGTTTTAGATCTTGCTGCAGTAGTACCCTTGCAGTCAGCGAATACAGAACTTTGATAAATAAGCACACAAGCCCGGGCTCACCAGCCGAAAATCATTCAAGCATAACGGTGCAACAAGTTACAGTCTCAAAATGAACATAACTTTCAACAGATCACAAGGTAAAATGTATTCTCCAAAATCTTTCTACGTGAAAATGGAAAACCCACTCACCAAAGAAAATGTAAGTGAAACCATTCATGCATAATATTACAGGGTACAAAATAAAAAAAATCTCAATTCACTATGCTAAATTAAAAGCAATACATTCAAGCATATTATTACAGGGTACGAAATGAACAGAATTTCAATTCAGCTCTGCTAAATTAAAGCAATCCATTCAAGCATAATATTACAGCAGGGCTCAATTCAGCACTACTAAAGTGAACGCAATCCGTTCAAGCATAATATTACAGCAGGTGTAGGCAACCTTTCGTCACTCGCGGGCCAAAATTAAAGGTCGCAAGTCATTGGCGGGCCACACACATTTTTAAAAAATTAAAAACCGAAGGAATGGCCAATGAATCACATTTTTCACACAGATCAGAAGTTAAATTTTAAGCAGCGTGCGAAGATTGACCATTTGAATATTCTCTGCACCCTTAAACCATTTGCACGTAGCATCAACTTTTCTGTGTTTTGTTGCATTTGTCTAATTATAGTTAAATTATTGGCTCATTAAACGAATAATTGTGAATTATATACTTATTAGGTTATAATATAATTTAGTCTACACGTGTCTCACAATAAATTCTGTTACATAAAGAATTTAATCGTCAAAACAGCTGTTTTGTTCAAACAATGCGGGCTGGATTATATTGCTCCACAGGCCCCTGCTATAATATCTATCTACGCACACTAATGACCTTTTCAAACTGTACAAAATCGAAAAGGAACTTGCGCAGAGGATCCACTACAGACCCCTCTAATAAAAGCAATTCATTCAAGCATAATATTACAGGGTAAAGAATGAACCAGAATTTCAATTCAGCTCTGCTAAATTAAAAGAAATCAGCCGTGAAGCGATGAATAAGCAAGCAATTCACCTTGTTAGTGAGCAAACCAATTTGTTGCTGAAGCTGTGATATTTCTGTACCACTAGATGGTGTTTTCTCACCCAATGAATGGAACTGACTTCCGGAGTCTTCGAGAATCACCGAGGCCTGTAAAAATGTAAGCAATGAAGCATGATTCAAGTGACTGACAAACTTTTTGCAACTCTCCTAAAGTGTCCACGTTGAGTTGGGGACTGAAGCGGTAAAATCTTTTTATCGTGTTTGGAGAGTTGTTTTGATTTATGATCGTATGGTTCTTCTGACCTTATATTGTTGTTAGTCGTATCTTTGTTACTTCCGTAGTGTGTGTACCAAAATAGGGTTAGGCCATAATTTCATTCTAATTTTCCTCATTTTAGTCTATTACGAGTTCGGAGACCGTCAGTGTTAGCTAAGTGAATATACCCCCTGCCCATAAGTTTCACCCCCTTAACACTTGATGTAAAGTAGCGAATATTCCACTGTTTTGATGATTTTTCAAGGTATTTTTTTGTGGTTCTTGGTCGTTTTTCATGATTTTTCCTTGTTTTTGGAACGATTTGGTGGTTTTTCACTGTTTTTGCACAATTCTCATTTTTTTTTCAAAGAGGGAGGTTTTAAAAGTTCTATCAGTGATCAATACTTTGAATGGGTACAAAAACGATAATTTCATTAGATAATTTCTTTTCAATATCTTTTCCAAATAGTAAACATCTATTCCAAAGTGAAACGGCTTCCTTCACCATCAAGTCCATGCTTCCGAAAACAAATAACAACTAATCCCATACTCGACATGGACTGGTAACCGGAGGAGAGGCAGTGATTCTCCGCCTTATTGGCTTTTCTCTTCCCCGGGATAGACATGTAAATTCAATCCTATCTCAACTATACATACTAATCATACCTGGGCAGAATCCTTGCTTTGTTGTCTGGTTAGAACTTTGGGGTCGTCAACTTTGACTCTGAGCCTGTGATAAAAGAAAGTGTTTGGATGATATTGGAGTTTTAGGGTTGAGATTTTGCGTTTTTGTGACATTAAAATCAAAGCCACACAAACAAGAGTTTCTAATCCTGTGGTTTTAGGCCTTTTTGGCGACCAGAATCCCAATGATCATTTTAGATGCTCGAAGAACCCCTGCTCAATAGTTCAATTGTTTCAAGCAATAAACATAATTTGATCAACAATATACAACTGTTTAATTCATAAATATACACAAAAGAAAACCTAATACTGGCAAAACAAAATTGATCTTGAAAGTGTAGCAAGTTTAACAAGTAACGGAGGAAGAGAAAAGCCGATAAGACGACTTAATCATACTACAAACCACGACCTCTCGTCCGGTTACAAGTCAAGTCCATGTCGGGTATGGGATTAGTTAGCCAGTTATTTGTTTTCAATAGCACAGACTTGATAACGGCAGCGAGTATTTAAGCAATCCTCTCGCAAATAATGATCTCACACGACATTTAACCTACGAACTCAAACAGTTATCCTTTCCTGAAGATAAATACAAATCCCCATTCCTACCTGTGTTCAAAGTGTGATGACTTGTCACTGTTCTGTTTCCAAAACTTAACAATTTCACCGTGAGTGAGCGACTTTCCATCCTCGACTGGTATCTGCTTGTACAGTAGAAGAAATCTATCCTTCGGCATTGCGGATTCATGGCCGGTTTCCAAATAAATTCGAATCTGGATCGATTCACCTTGAAATTGAAGGTTAAAAAGGTCATTTGTATGAAAGTCAACAAAAACAAGAAAGTAATTATTGACCCTTCGGCATTGCGGATTCATGGCCGGTTTCCAAATAAATTCGAATCTGGATCGATTCACCTTGAAATTGAAGGTTAAAAAGGTCATTTGTATGAAAGTCAACAAAAACAAGAAAGTAATTATTGACGAAAAAGTTGTGAGTAGGTCACAGCTGAAGTTTCCATTACATTTGAACCCACGACAATTGCACCTATGGAAATTTTTTTTTTTTACGGATATTTGAACCCATACTAACCCTAACCCATGGGTTTCAGCACCTTCATATAGATTGAACCCGCGAATATAAACAATTGAAATCAATTGTACGCGGGTTCAAATGTACGGTCACCCAGTTGAGCATTAGATTGGTGGATGTACCATACATAAAAACTATGTTTTCATTATTTGCTCGATCTTCAAACAATCCTAGTTTTCTCACAACTGACACTCAGGCTTTTGTGCAGAGTAAATAGTTCATAATATGTGCATGAATATGTATCACAAAATAAACGAGACAGCGATCAGAAACCGCCGACTTATCGATCCAGCGGCATGTATCCTTCGCTCTGACTCAATAGCGACACCACATGTCCCATCACTAATTAATTATTACCTCGCTAATTACATAACATAATTCATCCAAAATCAATAGGCATTCTGGTCAGAGATATGATGAACACACATGCAAAATTCGGAGCAAATTCTCGCTTTTGTGAGAAAGTGTCTAACAGACAGACAGACAAACAGACAAATACCTATCAACATACTTAACAAGATTGATAACTGAACAATATTGGTAAATCTACCAGTAATATTTCTGTATTTCTTCAGCCCAAAAAGCACAAATAATCCCTGGTTGGGAAATATTAGTTTAGACCTGACATCGGCAAACCACGCCTCACAGTTCGTTAGGGTAATTCAAACTGATGCTGCCACATTCAAACTAAAACCACATTTTGATGTTTTAGCTAAAAATAGCTCAAGGAATTTGTTGAGGTTGCAATCATATTTACTTTTGGCTATTGTGACACTGCAAATATTGTTCATAAAATGTAACATTTTACGCCACACATGGCCTGCCAGTCTAGATGAGCAAAATTGGCCCAAGGCCCAAAAACTTGGCCAACTCTGGTTTAGATGGCAATTTAAACTGGGAAGCCCTGATTTAGACTATAACATCTAATAATATTCAACCAAAATATACCTGGCGAGACCACTCCAACACTCGGCTTGACATGGTACCTCTCTGGTGACGTAGTTTTAACTTTGTAGGCCACGTACACTCGATCTTCGAAGTCGGTGGCTGGATTTGGATTTCGAATTCTCATGTAGCCTTCTAAGCGCTCTCCTTCAAGCTTGAAAGTCAGCTCAGATACAGGGCTTAAAATGAGTAAAATAGCTTTTCGAAATCATTTGAAATGCTTAGATGCAAAAATATTATCAAAATCATTATGTTCTTCAAAATATACAACCATGTGCGGTGCCGCTTACACTAGCCATGGCTAATTTTAGCCCAGGGTATCTCAGCTTCTCCGGGACGAATTTTTGAATTTTGCAACAAATAATGACAATTAAAATAATTCATTCATTCAAAACTAATTTTTGGAAACACAACTGAAAGCTGACAAATAACACACAAAACAGCGAAAACGAGACAATGATCACAGCCATGTTTTAACATCTGTCTGATCGAACGAAGTGTCTGAGCTGCTGCAAAAATTACAATTGTTTAGTTATCGTTGACTTTTTGCTGATTGGTGATAGTTACGAAGTTAAAAAGAAATTGATACTCTTGGAAACATCCATTTAGAATATGCTTAATATTTAACATTTGTAAATATTATTTTAAAGTCCAGTACAGTGAATTATTTGTTTTTGGCCGTCCGTGGTATGTATAGTTCTTACGATTTTCGGTGTTTTTTTTGCGTTTTTTGTACGTTTTTACAAAGTTTTTGGTATATTTTCATGGTTTTTGACATCTGATATTTAAAATTTTATTTTAAAATCCAGAACAGTGAATTATTTGAGTTCCGCCGTCCCTGGTAAGTCCACTGATAAGGGTTTGAAACAGCTCATTGTGTTGCGTGGTTTACCAAGCTAATATTTGTCTGTTTGTTTTATAGTTTTAACGACTTAATGAATTTCTAATAAACTTCTCTGCTGGGCAAACATTGCAGGTTCTTATCAGATTGTGTTAACAATTTAATGAGCATTGCTGACAATGTAAATTCAACACAGTAAAAGATTTTTATTCAACACTTATTGTTAAGATAAATAAGAATAGCATAATCTTTTTCCGCAAAATAGAGACTATATTTGTGCGCTTTCGTTAGAAAATTGTCAAATTTCTTCAGACGCAACAAGATATTACATTCTTCGCTGTTTATTAAGCCATAATATAAAGTCTGAAGTTAGACTACGACCCAACTAAATCTCACAAATATACTTGCTATTTCATTGAAAGTGATTATGTTATTCTTTTTCATCATTTATCTTTATAATACTATCTCGTTCAAGCATTTTTGTGGCAATGGTCACATACGGATCCGCAATAGAAAGTAAACAAGGAGAAAGGACGTGCAGTTCAGTACACAATATCCTAGTACACTTATTATTAACGCAGTATAAAAGTATATTTATTGAATGTCCATAACAATAACCAAAGTAACCCTCAAGACGGGGATGTCCAACCCGTGGGCCGCATGCGGCCCACAAGAAGAATTCGTGCGGCCCACATAATGTTTCATATAAATACGGACATATAAATATATTTAACATAAAAATTCCCTGGAAGGATATCTAATCTTACTAGAATTTAGGCTATAATTTCATGCGACTTCGACATAAGAAAAGCATTGTTGGACGCCACAGAACATGATTTTACAGAGGGCCACTCAAGTTTTCCATCCATTGTGAAGTCATCAAGGTTGAAGTCAGAAAATATTGCTGACTTAATTTTTTTTTCTGTTTTTTTACGGCAATGTATGTGCATTTTGCACAAAAGTTGAGTTGAATTTCATGATGTCATAGGAGTACGCTGACGAGCAAAATTTGACAAGCTAGTCAGTTACATTGTGCGGTATCAAAACTACCAGTTGATATTAAACAGTTGAGCAATGACAATTGAAGGCAAGTTTTGCACTTTTTACGTCTATGTATGTGCATTTTGCATAAAAGTTGAGTTGAATTTCATGGTCTTTGTTCGCATCTTGTGTTCAGAAATCTGCAAAATTGTTGTGCAATCCAGGTGTTTGATTTAGAGACGCTGGAATTCTAACGTAAATCGGAATTGAGTTTACCCCATGACAAAGTGGCTCGTGACACTAAAAAGGTTGCACATGCCTCCCTTTAAGATACGTCGACAGAAATGAGCCCTTAACTACAGAAAACATATGACCACTTTAACTGATTGGTCATGATCAGTCATTTGTAACAAAAAAATATCAAATCAGTATTTATTGTCACACAACCTGTCATCTACCCACCTCATAACCAGTTGGTTACCAAGTAATATTTCATCGGTTTCTTCAAAATATACAACCATGTGCGGCAGAAGATACGTCGACAGAAATGAGCCCTTTACTACAGAAAACATATGACCACTTCAACTGATTGGTCATGTTCAGTCATTTGTAACAAAAAAATATCAAATCAGTATTTATTGTCATACAACCTGTCATCTACCCACCTCATAACCAGTTGGTTACCAAGTAATATTTCATCGGTTTCCACTTTAATTCTGCTGTCAATTCGAGGCAAAGCATCGTTTCCTTGAAATGTAAAGTATAGTTATAAATAGGTAGATTAGAGCAGGCTAGGGCTATTCTACTGGCGGACCATGGTCTGAATCTGGACCATTTTTAATGAGGTTTCGCCAGCATAATCCAGGGGGTTCCGATTTGAGTCCGAGACTATATCAGGGCTACTCAACTATTTTCATCAAAGGTAAGTACACAAAATTTAAAAATAACCGTGGTCCGGTCATTCCAAGGATATATTTTTAGTTATGCAAATTTCAAATGCATCGTTTGACAAAACACAAGAGCAAAGCTCGATATCGCGCTTCGGTGTCGGTATGACAAGGTTTCAGTTGTGAAACCGAGGGTGTGAAATGACGCGCGTGTGAAATATATATGGAATATCTATAACCTTAAAAAAACAAGCTAATGTCTAAAAATCTGTGAACAATATATTCAATGAGCCACTGAAACTTCAATTTTTACGCCGCCATTGACATCTTGTTGATAAGTTAATGTTAGCTGAGTAAACAAGTGAGTCGATCCTCCGTATATTACAATGACAATTTTTCCTCAGTGGTTAAGCAAAAAATGCATTACGCCACGATCATGAAATTATAAGAAACGATGCATGTGGTCAAAGACAAAGAATGTGGTAATCGAAAATGGGCGCTGCAGAAGTATGTGTACCAATATGGAGGTAACTAATTTTGTTCGCCTACCATACATCAAGTTGTGTAAAGGAACTGAAACCTATGGGCAGGGGGTATATCAGGGTGGTCCAAGATTGAGAGCTCCGCTGGCCACAATAGTGCCAAGAACTTCGCTTGTTTAACTTCGCTAGTTAACTCAGCAAGCCATAACACTAGTCAATTCAGTGACATTAGTGATGCAACAATATGTCAAAAGATATTTTGGTTAATTTTATGACAAAACAAAACAAAATGCGATTTTTTGATTCCTCTCCGGATGCGACGCGGGCCACAGAAAATGAATTGGCGGGCCACATGTGGCCCGCGGGCCTGGGTTTGGACCACCCTGGGGTATATGATTCACTTGTCTATCACAAACAGTCCCAGAACTGGTAATAGAACTAAAATAAGGAAACTTGGAATAACATCATGACACATACCATGGGAGTGCCGGGAAACGAAATGTTCCCATTGCTATGAAGTAAACCAACTAGATTCAGTTATAGAATATAGCCAATTTGTGATAAAAATTCCTACACAGAAAATTAAAGTGTTCCTACCGTTGCGAAAATACCTTCAATACACTTACTTGATTCATCCATTCCTTTAACACTTTGAAATGATACATTAGACGCATGCTTCTCTAGTTTTCCGTCTGTTGTATTGGGTCGCTGGGGCTTCACTTCTGTGAAAAGTTGGAAGTTTTTAGGGATGCTTACAACCATTGCTGTGAAAAAGGTTCACAGGTTCCCATTCTAGTAGATTATTTTATGCAAGAGGATTGCCGGATTCTTTTAACTGTTGTATTTGGTCATTATTGTATACCAGTTCAACATTACCAAAGCACAAAAGTGAGCGGTGAAGGAAATAAAGAGGCAGAAGATAACTCAACACTGCCACGGAAACAGCTAGATGGATGGGATTTCACAAACTAAAACATTGTTTCTCAAATGGTGGGGCGTAGACACGAAGGGGTGTAGACTATTTTCCGAGGGGGGCGTGAAGCAAATTAAGAATAAAAATATTTGTCAGATTTGATCCTGCCCGCATTAGTTTGTATATTCACATTTCTTCATTTTGGATATTTAAGTCCCATCAAAATATTTTCAACGCATTTTTCGAATAAAAAACATACTTACGGCCCTGTTATCTGTTAACTGTAGCTTGTTGTTACCTATTTTTTTTTGAGGTTGGGTGCTGCATTTTTGATTAGCTCTACGCACCCCCCCCCCCCTTGTGGGGCACGCCCAACCGTTCGAGAACCACTGAGCTAGATGAAATTTCACTAGCTAGAAGTACTTGGGAAAAAATTTCATTGACAAGCGAGAACACTTTATGGAAGAGAACTAGCAAAGATATTCAGAACAAGAACTAACTTTCTGATCCTGTTATTTGTCCATTTGTTTGCTGTTCTTGGCCTGAAGATTTCTTCAGAGAGGGATCTTGCTTGATCGGAGTTGATGTTCTGTGAAAAGATGAAATTGGTTGTTCGAGTCTGATTGACTAGGACTCAAGGATTCTCGAACTGGGCCCTTGGTCCGAATCCGGACCTTCCGGGTATTCGATTCAAACCGCTCCTAATATTTTATTTTGGATCATCAGCCTCAATTTAAAAGTTTTCTTTTATAAAATCACTTTTATAGATTTAAATATATATGAAAAGAAATATAATGCCATTATAAACAATCTTGATTAGCTAATAATCATTAGTCGGCCGAGGAAGTGCGTGTTTGAGAATGCCGGAATATAATTTCTGGAAAGATCGAACCCAATTATTTTTGAAGTTTAGTAGGCGGATCTTCGGTAAAAATAGTTGAGTAGCCCTGCCCTTGGCAATGGGTTCTCAAAGTGCTCCATACAGAATACAGGGCTTCATGAGAGAAACCTAGGGACTCCACGAGCAATTTGTTTACTTATTGAAATACTGAATATTTTTTAAATACAAAGCAGCAAATACATCCGAGTAATTGAATAAAGTAATTTTAGTTCACTCAGAAACATTATTCAGTAAGTTACAATGTGTTTTTTTGTTTTTATTTTCATGAATTTGTTGTTGGGGCTCCGAAAATATTAGTCAACTGGCTCTATAGCGCTGAATGTTTGAGATACCCTGCTCTAGAGGAGCCAATGTCGTCACTGGGTACTATTCGAGATGACAATATTAATTTAAAGTAATGTGATATTTTTAATTCTTCGACTGCAATGAATTTATTCTTTTACTTTCATTCGTTAACTTTTTCTCTATCAAATTTGGCAATAAAAGTACAGTATTTTCTTGCATAATATAAGCCGAAATTAGAACTCAAAAATAAAATTGCCAAACTAAGAGGTCGGCTGACAGGCGCCGAATATAATTCAGCTTATGCGTGCATAACTCTTGATCACACTAAAAATTTGGCTTATACGCACATGACTCTGGTCGCACTAAAAATTCAGCTTATACACACACAACTCTGATCACAATAAAAATTTTGCTTGTACGCGCATAACTCTGATCGCACTCAAACAAAATGATATTATGCCAACCTTTTTTTCAATAGCTATAACTCATACAGCGTGTTACGATGTCGTTTTAGGAGCAAAACTTTGGCGGTTCTGTTCAGTAACGGTTCATAGTAGTTCTTTACAGTCTCACAAAAGAAGTGTTCAAGCGAGTAAAGCGTAAAAACAAAAAAGTATGGAAACGCAACTTTTAGAACTGCGATTGACTTTTGATGATTTGCTGCTGCTATTTTCTGTTTCATTCATTTTATTATTTTGTTCCCGACAAACAAGTTCATTTTAACGTTCATTTTAACCAAAGTTACCGGTATGCTAGAACAGGTCAGGAACACCTCACTATACAAGCACTTAAACACAAACCTCATGTCCATATCGGTGGAGCTCTTAGTTACGGGAAGTTGTGGTTCCCCATTTTCAGCATACACCACTTTCTTATCTACGGGTGGGTTTTTGGCTAGCTTCTTAACCGGCATAATTTTCCTAACATTTGTGGTGGATGAAGATTCATCAGCGTTATGGTTGTTGTTATTGAAATCTCCATTGTCTGGTGATCGCTCTTGCGTAACCTCCCCGTTTACAAGAGGAACAGCATCAGTAGTTGTTGACGGACCAGGTTTTTCTAAAAGTTAAAGAAACAGGAGTGAAAAACTGAATGTATGTTGGAGCTGTAGTCAGTTGGTACATGAAACAACAATCATGAAACCACAGGCAATATGATCTATCTGGTCTAGGGGTTATCGGGTTGGGCTGGTGTTCAATAGGCTTAGTGTTCAAATCCCGTTGGGCTTTTCAGAACAATTGGGGGGGAATTACGTAACAGTAAACCCAAACTGATAGATGGAGCTATCTGGTTTAGGGGATATAAGGTTGGGCTGGCGGCAACTGGCAATTTTAGGACAAGCAGTTGGCCACACCAAGAGGTAGCCTACTGAACTGTATTGAATTATGTAACGGTAACTGAAATTGATAAAAGGTTTTTTTATGGCGTTTGGCAAAATTTCTGCCACATTAAATTTTACAATTATTACATAGCCCTATTTTTTGTGTTAATACAGACTAATGAACTAATGGAAGTAGGAAAATGACATGCGCATTATTCACGCTAATTACTACAGAACAAACGCTGTACTACAGATACAGTTGTTATGAAATTAAAGAGCCTTTATTGAGACACATCACATATTTTACACAGATCAGAAGTTGAAATTTTAGACATTAAATAGCTGGTGAACACTGCGACGACTCGTGAACTCAAGTCATCAAAATAAAATGACATTTATTGGGACACTTGTTGCTGCATTACGATTAATAGCTTTTCGACATCAGGTGACGCACTGGACGAAGCCAAGATTAAAACATTTTCAAAATGGGCATCACTGATCCGAGTTCTCAGTTCGTTGGACACGTTTAGTGGCCATAACGATCGTTTCAAAATTTTGTTGTTATTGTTATTTTTGTTATTTGTCTCCGTCTCCATTTTTAAAAAATCGCTTTTCTCTTCGAATACTGACCAATTGCTTTGATATTTTCAGTGGTGAAAGATAAAATTTTTCTCCAGAAGGCTATTACTTTTTTTTCTCGCTATGACGTCATCAAAATTATTGCCACTGGGTGGCTATGTGTCCATATATTTGAGCATAGCTCTCTTGTTCTTCCTAATGTTCATTTTCGAAAATAATTGTTCGCACACATATGTACTTCCAGGCATCGATGTGAATTTTTTCGCATGGTTTGTCAAATTTGGATAGAGTTTTCCTTCAAGAAATTACTTTTCATAAAAATCAAGCAGTGACAAATATCTCGCATAAAAATGGATTTTATTGCATAACATGCATTATTGATCCTATGACATGCATTGTTTGCGTCACACAAAGACAGGTATAGGCTTTGCAACACAGAGAGGGTCACACAATTCCTTCTCGGGGATGTTTTAAATAATTAACGACCCAGAACCCTGAAGCTACCAAGCACAATCAAGTCCTAAGTAAACCAAAATTGCTTTTATTTTATTGAAAACAATATTCAACAAACGGATAACAATCTGGACAAGTGTTCACCTTCAGCTTTTTCTTCTTTCTTTTTGAAGTTATTTGGATCATTTTTAAAGTCATGATCTTGGCCTAAATCGTCTGGGAACGGCGGGAAGGAATAGGTCCAGTCGACCTGCCAAAAAAATTGAAAATTGCGAAGAAACAGATATATGGACAAGTTGATCAAATGGATGTCATGTTAAAGTGTTCCCAGAGGAGAAACATGGTGTTCCATTATACTTGGAAAAAATTTGAATATAATAAAGTCCTGTAAGTGGTCAACTAGTCCCTAAAAAAATATTATAGACATTTTTTAATAACAATAATTAATAGAACAAACTATATGTTACATCAGAGGTAGGCTATTACAGCCCGCAGGTCGGATCAGGCCCACTTGCGTATGCTGAAATTATGACTACTATTTTAGGGATGTAAATTTCTGTTGAAAATAACGCAATAATGACCAAAATTGTTGCATCGTGCTTCTTATATATGTGTTAGCCTAAATGTTATAAATTAAACTGTTTTTATTCGTAGTTTTTCATATAAAGTTTTGAGACTTCAGCCCCGTAACCAAGTCTATTAAAGGTAACTCGCCCACTTAAAGAAGTGATTGTACACCCACGTGTCACACCCTCTTGTCTAATATAATAGTCCTCATACCGTCCCAGCCATTGACTTCGGAAGTTGATCGGGTGAAATATATTTTTTCAAATCTTTTCGACTGCAGAAAACAGTTTTGCTACGTTGTTCTTCGCTCATCCACTGCTTCACTATGTTCCAAATTGCTAGAAAAAGCAAAATTAATTTTAAGAATTCTGTGAATTTCAGATGTTTCATGTTTAGAATAAATGTCTCAACCTTGGCTGAAGTTGTATAAAACCTTGCATATAGCTTTTTGCAAGCAGTGACAGAGCTTAGATCGATACTCAGTGTGTGTCCCAGGTTAGGGTTATGCCTTAGGTAATTTCATTCTGATTTTTCTTATTTTAGTTCTATTACGAGTTCGGGCACTGTCTGTGCTAGCTGAGTGAATATATCCCTGCCAATAGGCTTCAGTCCCTTTACACAAGTTGATGTAACGTAGGCGAACAAAACTAGTTACCTCCATATTGGTACACACACTACTGGAGCGCCCTTCTATCAGTACACTTACCACTTTTAGTAGAAAGTTCGGGAGCTTCTATCTAGCTGAGAGCTCTCCAGCATGGCGCTCCAGAAGTGTGTGTACCGATATGGAGGTAACTAATTTTGTTCGCCTACGTTACATCAAGTTGTGTAAAGGGATGAAATGAGTAGGGGGTTCATTCATCATTCACTTGGCTAACACAGACAGTCCCCGAACCCTAATCTGGTACACACACTACGGGAGTACCCTTTCCACTTCTAGATGAGGATTCTGGGCCCTGGTTTGCGCAAACTTGAAAATAAATGTGAAATGAACAAACCACTTACCATTCATAATCCAAGGCATATCAAGAATGATGATTTTTTCTGAAATAAAAAAAATCTTATTCAGCGAAAAGTCTCAAAAGTTGACATAACCCTTTTTATCAGCGGTTCCCAAAAGATGCACCTAGTGCGTCGCGAATAATGACAGATTTTTTGTTTGGCACAAATGAGCCATTTCCCCATTTATTCACATGTTTACAAACTTGAAAAATCATAAAGTACACATTGAAGAAAACAAAATTTGAGTTTTATTTAAAAGCAGAATTTTCTTACAGTGGGTGCTACGTGTGAGTTCTTTTTAATGATAATTCGACGCTGCACGAACAAAAAATTTGGGAATCGCTTCTTTCAACAATAACAACCCTGCAAAACAATCCCTAAGTAATATTGTTCTAGCAGAATAGTGAAAATTTGAAATTAAAAGCCTGTCTCACTAACTGCTGGGATATTTCACAATCACAATATCGAGAATATCGGTCGGAGACTGAAGACTTATCGATCGAAACTGCGGTTTCGATTCATGACTCTATAGTGACACCGCGTGTCCCATCACTAATTAATTGATAACTCGCTAATTATATGACATAATTCATCCAAAATCAATAGGCTTCTGTTCCGAGATATGATGAACGCACATGCAAAATTTGGAGCAGATTCAACCTCGCCTTCAAGAGATATCGCGTTCATCTAACAGGCAAACAAACAGACATACAGACAAATATCTATCAACATACTTACCAATCTTAAGATCGATAAGTAATAACAACACTGCCAAACCCCAATACCTTTAGTTATGAGTGTGTCAGTATTAATAAAGTATTGAAACCAGTTTAAACAGTATAAACTATGCTATCACATGACATGTATTATTGTCATCATTAATCAATTTGGATTATAAGGGATGCCTGCTGTGACATCCTTATTTATAATATTTGTCCTTATTTTGAAGGTCTTTGTCTTACACCTTTTTTGTCGTTCTAGGAATCAAATGGTGCAAATCCTTTAAAGCGCAATTTATGATTAGACAAAGGTCGCACTGACATAAATACATTTTGTCTGTAACATTTTTTTCTTTGTTATTCTATTATGTTTCCCTACATCCTTATTTTTGGCAGCCCTGGTTACGAGGAAACCATGCTGTGTTTTAGTGCTATAAATCAGATTAATTTTAATCTGATACAAATGTAAAGAAAAAGTGGGTGCTTCTGAAGTATGTGAACCAAGATGGCGGACACCGAAACGTAGTATGTGTACCAGGATAGGGTTAGGCCATAATTTTATTCTGATTTAACTTATTTTAGTTCTATTACGAGTTTAGAGACTAGCCAAGTGACTCCCATAGTATTTGTACCTGAATTTATGGCCTAACCCTAACCTGGTACACATACTAAGTTCCGGCGTCCGCCATCTTGGTTCACATACTTCGGGAGTACCATGAAGTGCACATATGGTTTATGTTACTAAATTATTGTTGTTGTTCTTATTCATTCTGCGCAAGTAAAGGCCTTCCAGCCACTGTTTTAATCTTTAAGTAATTTATTTTTTGTAATTAGTAATTTCTCACTACATTGAATTGTCTGCTGTTTTGACATTATTTAATTATGCTTTGTGTTTTTGACATCTTAGGTTGATTTATAAGGTTCACCGGTCTACAAAATTTTTTGGAAATTTTACCAGTCCGCAAACTAAAAAGGTTGAAAACTACTGAGTTAGACAGTCAGTCATTCAAAGCGAGCGTTAATATAAAATGAGGATATTACGTAAGATACCACAAACTACTAGTCGTGCTAGACACGATATCCTTGTATTATTAGAGATAAGGGACTGTGGTTGCGAATGTTTGAAGATTATGAAACAAAATTTTGTATAACACAGACAGAAAGACATTATCAGATAAATCCAGCGGCACGTCTTTTATGATGTAACAATATTGTTTGTTATTTCATTTTATTTAATATTTTAAGTCATCCAACACATATTTTGACAACCTTGACAACATCTCACCTTACAAACGAACTTAACACATAAAATAAGATAAGATCACAATATTATGACAGTTTATGCAATGTTGGTTTAAATAAATTATGATTTTAACGCTAAATTGCTTTTGATATTTAGATGAATAAATACTTTAATTCCATCATACCAGGAGACGAACTTTTGATTTATTTTAATAGTTTTGAACCGAAATATTACGACATGGATTGCCACGTTCTGTAATGCAGTGATCACCAAAGTGTGGGTCGTGACCACAAGTTGGGTCACATTAAATATTTCGGGGGTCGCCAAGTGTCCGGCGTTGTATATGGAAATTTTTTTATTTTTTATTATTCCTTTGCATGCATTCTATTTAGGCGTTGAAAATATGTCAAGTCACACTTTGAAAAGGCTATGTTTCAAGTGCACAAAAATAAGATTTTACTATGATTAGATTTTTTTCTTGTCTGTCATATTCATATACCTTGGGGTCACGAGTGCTTAGCATACATCATAATATTTAAAATAGGGTCGCGTCTTAAAAAGTTGTCAAACAGGATTCTGCAAGTTTGTGTTCAAATCCGAGTGTCGAGCGCGCGGAAAGGGAAGCTGATGAAACGGTATACTTTATGGTGAACTATTATCACCCTGTTACAATTCCTGATTATCTCAAGCAACAAACCTTTTTTTTTTAATTTGCTCAAAGCTATGTCACATGCTCTCACTCAGATATAGGAGACTCATCTCTGAGCGAAGTTACACACACTCACTCAAAAATAAAGGAGACTCATCTCTGAGCAAAGTTACGGGCACTCACTCAGAAGTGAAGAAGACTCATTCATCTATGAGCAAAATTACAGGCACTCACTCAGAAGTAAATTAAACTCATCTCTGAGTGAAGATACAAGTAACCACACCAGTGTTAACTCTAAGCAAATTATGAGTGCGAAAGTGCTTCGCAGTCGAAAAAAAAAGTGCGAAAGTGCTTTTGCTGATTTTAACAAGTTAGGTGCCCTAGCCTTTCATATAACCCATTTAAAACCGCATGATACTCGATAAAGCGCTCCTCCGGTTAATATTATGAATTAAAGAGAAGCCTTTTCGTTAACGAGTTCCCTTTAAGCGAATCATGTTTAATTAAAACAAGCGAATTCATCGGCAACGAAATGACATCTGCTAACACCTGCCCGGACAAAACTTTCATGCAATGTATCACAGTGTCAGTTGCTTACTCGCGTAAACAGCAAAGACTTTCACATTTGTTACTCCTTCCATCTAACAGACACGAGGCAGGCTGGAAACCATATTAGTTACAGGGTGGATCGTTTGTACAAATCCCGTGTAAAATAATCCCCCCCCCCCCCCCAAATATAAATAGTAATCAACTAATTAGGGTTAGGTGCGCTGGAAATTCAACTTTTCGATTTATCCCTAAACCTAATCTGATAATTATTAATTTGTGATTTTGAACCACTTTGAAAGTCGCCACCCGCTGTTTTAAAAGATAAGTTAACCTACTTTCCCTCCGTAATATTACGCATATACTCCCCTGTTTTAGGAGATAGGTTGACCTACTTTCCTTTCAAACCTTTTTCTCCGAAATATTACACAAGATCACTTTGAAAACCCTCCCGTTTCGTGAGCTAGCGTGACCTAATTCCTCATTTACATTTATATTATACTATTTCAGAGCTTACCCAAAGACAAGTAATTTTTAAATGTCGACATGCCTTGGTTTGTGTGCGAGTTAGTTTAAATCGGGCAGAAAACTTAATATTTTGGCAAAATGTTTAGTAATGTCATGTACTTTCAGCATTCATAAATAGCACTCTTTGTAATGCTGCTGACGTATCAAATATTCGCATCACAACGCCACTTGCGAGGTTTCCATATATTTCAATTACACTAATAGGAACGATGACACCAAAGAGTTTTCTTTTGCGAAGGTACACTAAATATAACCAGGGTGATTCTTGAGAAAAACATGAATATGAAAAATAAATGAATGATATGATAGTGGATCCCAAATAATTTTGAGAGTGTCTCGAAATACCAATCCATTTGATAAATAATTTTCATTCGACCACATGAACGCTGATATCCTGAAAATTATTGTTGAAAGAGAATTCCGCATTCTCAGATATCGGACATCCAGTCGCGATATTCAATCGTTCATATGCACAAATCTCACATTAATAGTAATTGCTACCCAAGTTTGTAAAGTTTAGAAACCAACAAACAGAAAATAACTTATCCTAAAACACAATTAAAATTCAGTCGGCAATAAATTCGTCGCCACGATGCCATACAAAACAAAAAAGATTTGGTCGCGAGAGTTACGTGAGATGACTGCCGTTGTTTTTTAAGCAGAATGTAAAAAAAATTATAATTAATAAACGGGAGTTACGACGCCCTTTACACATCGTGTGTATTAAACTTCCCTGGTAAGTACTATTATTATTGTACTTATACACCTGTTGGAGTATTTCGGAGAATTTCGAATTTAAAATAAATGAAAACCCGACATATAATAAAGACGCAAAAGTAAAATGAACATTTATTGAAAAAGTTATTATTTAAGAAAGACAACATTATCGTACAATTCCGCCAAAATCTCGATGTTCGCAAGTGAGATGATAAATAAATACTTCCCTGTATTCGATCAATTAACTTTAGCGTATCGTTGTTCTGCCAACAAACAGCCGGGTGCAAATAATTTCCGTCCTGAGATATGCTCACAAATATTCTCGATATTAATATCATACCCTCGCGTATGTACTTTCTATTAGCTCTGTAGTGATCCCTTTCATCCTTGGCCAAGTCATGTTTCGAATATGTGAACATTTTATTCGACCATACGTGGCTGGCGGGATGTTAAAATTGTAAACAAGAGAGAGGTAAAATCAATCGCGAATTTCGTTATAACGGCTCGTTTATGAATTGTTGCGCCTGTTATCGTCGAAAATGATTACATTTGTTGTATTTTGAGGCATTTAAGCAGTAATAATTAGGGCATGACATCATCAAAATCGTCAAGTGAGATCTTGAAATTGCAAATTCCGTAAATAAAATTGTGAAATATTCGGTAACGAAATCAGCTTTAATGACCGTCGGGGTATTGTTTCTTGAAAATTATTATTAATGTGAGAGCGCCAAAAACATACAGTCCATAGCGATGCGACTGCAATTTATATGGTCGCAATTGGTCTGGCGCGTTTATTAATAGTGTAAAATAAATTAAACGAATATCAATTACAACCAAGCCTGTCAGCGTGTTTATTTTCTGTTGGCAGGAATCGTAAAATACCATCTTGAGACAAATTCACTTCTATTATAAAATCTTAATTTTCAGTTATTATCGTTATACAAATAACGTGTGGCAACTTTTTAATTTATCGTCGACCAAAAAACCGCCCCACACTCGTCCAAACGTGTCGAGCTTGAACGACAGGAACAGATTCATCGACGACCTTAATTAGGGAAAAATATGTATTTTATTGGGAATGCAAAATAAATGTAACAAAAGGCATTTTTTTGTGATATAACTTTGTATTTTCGGAAACGGGTTGCCGTGAAAGGTAAAATTTGATCTAAATTAATCGCAAAAATGTTTTATTTTAAAAGTAACAAAACACATTTTTCGAGATACAACTGTATTTTCGGTTACCGGGTGTCATGAAGAGTAAAATATGATCTGAATTAACCGTAAATAATGATTCATTCCAAATGTATCATAACGCATTTTTTGCGATATAACTTTGTATTTTCGAAAACGGGGCGTCACGAAAATTATTAATCTAATGTTTTATCTATCGTCTAACTAACGTCTGGAACACATCATTTTCGGGGAGAACTCTAGCCCGCGAAACGTCATTTAATTTAAATGAGAGAATGTTTCACGCATTTCAAAACGGAAAATCACCAGTAAGTGGACAGGGATTCAACCCTCCGGAATCAGTATTCTATATCCTCCCTGTCAGAACTTTCTGAAGAATGGAACAAAGAACCCGTCAAACCGCCGCCGAAGGAGGGGAGTATTTTTTGCACTAATAATTAGGGCTGACAATATCAAAATCGTCAAGAAACTGGTGAATTTGCAAATTCCATAAATAAAATTGTGAATTGCTCGGTAAAATTTTAGCTATAATTATCGCCGGGGTATCGTTTTGTCGAAAACACGTTGAAACTTGAGGGAATTAGTTACAATTAGCGCCTGACCTCTATTAGGCACTCCAGCACTCGAAAAAAAAGCACTCGAGCCCAATCTTTTTAGCATTAAGTCGCATACGTAAAATATCCTGTAAAAGAAGTGCTGTTCATTAACGTCATCTCGTCTTATGACCACGCAGAAATGCCTTTATTGCCGAATTATTCAATCACTATTTTAAATCAACATTCAGGATTGGCACAATTTCAGATTTGCGAAGTTTATCACCATAGAAATACATGAGAAAGTTAATTATCGTCTTGAAAAATATCTGCATCACGGTATGGACAATAATATTACCATTCGCATAAAATTGGGACAGTAAATTTACAAATCTTGATAGGTAATATTAAAGCCAACGCAAATGTTAATTTGAGTCCTCAATGTCTTCAACAGCTGTTGCCGATGTGAACGAACGGGTAAACCCGAAATATAAAACTTCGATGTCCGCCGACCCACAAGAATTCATATTTGTAAAAAAGAGAGGGCGGGAATATAGATTACCCAAAACCTGGATATCGCCGCCAAAACGATCGGTGACAAGAACAATTAGCGATTACAACGGAATTAACCAGTAAAAAGGCTTTGTTGCCGATTTTTTAATGTTTCCACCACGTTTATTCGGTACTCCTTAAAAATATTCGATTCAAAAAATATTGAATTTTGCCCACCCGTCCTCGCATATCAATGAGAAATAGTTGTGTAAATATTGCAAAATTACGGAAAATGCCACTCCTTTCAACATTGTGATTACAATAAAATGGCACTTAATGGTATTTTGTGAATTTGGTGCTTTTGCAAATCTGTGACATGCTGCTAAAAGAAATTTTGAGATTTGAAAATCATGCAGTTTGGTCACAATTCATCCAAAGTGACTATAACACATAACACTTTTATGGTCATTTTGAATTCATCGATATCATTGATAGTCACATGACCACTCTCCTCAAAGAACGCACTGCTTATTATTCCAACATCTGGTTTCAATCACCCGGGAGCGTTTTTTGCGGGAGAAGCGGAATCGGTGTGCTTGTATAATAATCATATTATAAACAAGAATTTTGCCGTTAATGCAAAAGCTTTATCTCCTATGTCTGCATCTCATAGGTTAGAATTCCGGTAAATATCGTTATGATATGCAGAATTGAGTTACAAAAGTACTAGTATGTTACTTATTTGTCAACTTAATACTCGAAAATATTTGTTAACTTTGAATTTTTATCCCATTCAAAATTGGAAAAAAGTGCTATTTCTCTTCAAAATCGGAAAAAAGTGCTATTTCGCAGTCCCTAAAAAAAGTTGCAGAGTGCTTCGCAATTTTCGCAAAAAAGTGCGCTAATAGTGAACACTGAACCACACACACATGGTGTAATATTAGTTGCAAGATTCAAAATGCCGAAATATGCAAATGAGTGAGAGGCTGACCTGTGTAGCCTGGTTTACTCTTGTCATCATTAAAATAAAACACGGCAAGACCGCACTTTTGCAGTAATTCGGAAACATGTTTTGCACATGAATCATGAAGTTATATTTTCGAATATTCGAATTTTAAAACAATTTTCAAAACATCAAGATTATTTCATACCAGATAAGGCTGGTTTTCTTTATTTATACATTATTTATCATGATTATACAAGTTCTGTCTCGGGTATGAACTCATAATAAACACCTGTCAGACTTTGTTTAATGTCATTAATAAACATTTTAAGGGCTAAATCAGATTACATGAACTCATGATACGCGACTTCAAGGTCTGGGGAATAAACAATTTGGATTGGTTTATTTGGCCCGGTTCATAAACAAGATCAAAAACACAAACTTGAAATCTAGTGTCACCATGAAAAAATAAGGAATTGTGGATACATCGAAGATGCATTTAAATGTTCTTTTTATTTGAGTTTTAATTTTTTACTGTTTTCAAAGTCAGGATGTATTGGCCTTGTCATAATGAATTAAAAACAATAACTTTTTGGAAGAATTTTCATCATTCAAAAATCATAAGATCTTGAAAAAATCACGAACATTTAGATCATTTTCACAAATTTAAAATAGTGCAGCCTCCATCAAAAACTGAAATTAAAATTTGCTGACTAAAATTAATCCAATTTTACGAACTACAACAATAAAATTTGCAAAAAAATTGGATTTTTTTATTCGTTTTTTGCTCCAAGAGGCAATTACTTCAATTTCCGTTTAATACATGATTTGCAATTTTTAGTTCTTCCGCAAATTTAAAAAATAATATGGTTTTAACCACAAACTCAAATTAAAAATGCACTCATCCCGTGAAATTGAGAAAATTACCCATTACATAAATAAAAAAATTGATAAAAATCTACAAAGTATAGTCTGATGTGTGACTAATGGATTTAAATTGCTGCAAGGCGAGTGAAATATTGAAATATTTTGCCGAAAATGATATTTTGGGATCATATATCATCCATCATTTTATAATGAGGCTGCAAATTGTGGCTACCAATGAAAATATAGGCTACTATGGTTCTGGACGAGGCTCTTTGCAAGCATTTACTGATATATAAGCGTCTTTCTGAGTATTTTAAAGCAAAATCGGGCTGAAATGAAAGAAGAGTTGACATTGCCTTTACTCTTTAGGCTGTTCACACAAAGTATAAAAGCATAAACTGCCCATTATTTATCATAAAATTGGGTTTTATTTATAAATAGCAATTTTTTCGTGCAATGCAATGTGAGTTTTTCCTGATAATTTGCAGCACAAGCAAAACCTCAGACAACCTCTGTCAAGACGTGATATAAGTTATCTTATCATCCTTTATCTCCCCAAACAACAACCAAACTTAAATAAAAATCTTACCTAATAAATCAGGAAAATATGACGTAAACGAGTCGATAATGAATCGAATTAATCCAAGGTCAACGTTACCCATTGCAGTTTTGTTCGTGTCGAGAATGAAGGTAACATGCTGGCCAGGTTCGTACCTGAAAGTTTTGAAAAGAAAAATTTGAAAAAAAGGGAAATTTTGAAAAGAAGAAAATTTTGGTACAGTGTATCCTAACTGCAGATCCACAGAAATATGCTAAGCCGGGGTGTGCAACCTTTAACACAGGAAGGTCAGATACGAAAAACTGGGTGAAAAACCAAAGCGCACAATTTTTCCTTGTGGGCAGCATTTTTCACACCTCTGACCAAGTCTATGACACAATTTTTTTTGAACCAGTCAATAGTGTGAAAACTCTCCTACACGTTTTAGAGCAGGGGTGTGCAACCTTTTAATACAGAAGGGAAAGATACAAATAACTGGGCGAAACTGCACCATAATTTAACATAGGCTTTCTAGGTGCTCCCGAAGTATGCGAACCAAGATGGCGGACATCGGAACGTAACATGGGTAACAGGTTAGGGTTAGGCGATAATTTTTTTCCAATTTTCCTTATTTTAGTCCTATTATCAGTTCGAAGACTAGCCAAGAGCCTCCCGTAGTATTTATACCTAAAATTATGGCCTAACCCTAACCTAGTACACATATTACATTCCGATGTCCGCCATCTTGGTTCGCATACTTCGGGAGCCCCGCTTTCTAATAGTTGCTGGCACAAAAAATTCAGTTATTGATCTTATGACATGTGTTGTTTGCTTCGCACAAGCTATCTGTTAAGCAGCGGTTCTCAACCGGGGGCCCTCGGGCCCCTAAAGGGGCCACAGAGGAGTTGGAGGGGGGCCACAAGGATGGGCTGAAATCTGAATTTACTTTTCACTTTAAAAGAAATCTCAGTTTTTCCTGTTTGCTGCTCAACAAGGTTATTTCGCAGGGTGTTTTCGCTCTCTTTTGTGCAAATTGTTTTAACATAATGGGATTTGGAATCTATCAATGAAAATAACCCTATTAATACCTCTGGAATATTAAAGTGGGGGCCATGAGTGCTAAAAGTCTCCAAAAAGGTTGAGAACCACTGTGTTAAGGCATTGTAAAGTTATAGGCATATATATAATAAATTGGACTCGGGCATAGGCTTCACAACACAAAGGGATTGGAATTACTCGCACGTACCAAATTAAATCAAAATACATTCGAAATTATTATTTACGAATATGAAATTTCGAATAAGAAATCAATTATAACCGGACAGTTTACCACACATTATATGTCCACAGATTGCCGTGCTATTCATCAAAATTATTTGCCAAAAAGCGGGGAAAAGTATGAATTATTTTCCTAATAAATCGACTTGTTTTTTCGACTTGTGACAATTAATTGGGTATCATAACAATTTTGACATTAAATAATTTTCATGTAATGAAAATGAATGTGTAAATTAGAAGCCTTATATGGAAATAGCAGCAAAGTCCACCACGCAACCGTGCAAATGTGTCGCAACATTATGCGTGACAAAGCATATTGACATTCGAATACTCGATTCGTTTTGGGCAACCCTGGTATCAGCTATTGTGGTCTGGATCAGAGGTGGGTAATTACTTTTCTGAGTGGACCATTTACAGATAATAGACTGATTACTGGGCCGGAGGGTCAAAACTCGGTGCTCCCGAAGTATGCGAACCAAGATGGCGGACATCGGAACGTAACATGAGTAACAGGTTAGGGTTAGGCGATAATTTTTTTCCAATCTTCCTTATTTTAGTCCTATTATCAGTTCGAAGACTAGCCAAGAGCCTCCTGTAGTATTTATACCTAAAATTATGGCCTAACCCTAACCTAGTACACATATTACATTCCGATGTCCGCCATCTTGGTTCGCATACTTCGGGAGCCCCCAAAACTCAATATGACAAATTGGGAATAAAAAACAGTTAATCTACAACAGCTAGGCTAACGTTATTAGAAGCACAATGTAACAATCCGGGCCATTATGAAATTATTTCAAAGGAAATTTATATCCAAAAAAACGGGGCTCCCGAAGTATGCGAACCAAGATGGCGGACATCGGAATGTAATATGTGTACTGGTTAGGGTTAGGCCATAATTTTAGGTATAAATACTACGGGAGACTCTTGGCTAGTCTTCGAACTGATAATAGGACTAAAATAAGGAAAATTGAAAAGAAATTATCGCCTAACCCTAACCTGTTACCCATGTTACGTTCCGATGTCCGCAATCTTGGTTCGCATACTTCGGGAGCACCAAAAAAACTATAGTTTTAATTTCAGCAAAAAAAAGGGTCGGATAAATATCTTCCATGGGCCCAACCCGGCCCACAGACTGCAATTTGCCCAACCTTGGTCTAGACCGAATGAGGCATTGTTTCCTAAACAGGGAGAAATTTAACCCCTGAGATATAAATTGGCTTTGTAATTGCCGCATCTTTATTAATATACTTTATAGTTAGTTCTTCACAGTTATAGAATTAGTTTTCAGTGAAAGCAGTTTTCCAGTCACATGATTTCTAGGAAGTAGTGATCAATAATGCACACAGAGATATAAATAAATAATATTCTAATTATTATGGTGTCTGTACATTTAGTTTTAATGAAATTCAACAGTCATTAATACAATTAAAAATTATTTCAAAATCATAATTATTTTAGCATAATGATAATAGCATGTCTTTTCAGGGGTGACCGTACATTTGAACCCATGCGTATATCCACGGGTTCAATCTATATGCGGGTGCTAAAACCCATGGGTTAGGGTTAGTATGTGTTTAACTATCCGTGAAACAAAAAAAATTCCATAGGTGCAATAGCATACAGGTGCAATTGTCATGGGTTCAAATGTACGTGTGTTCAAATGTAATGGAACCCTTTTCAGGATTTATTCATTTCAAATTTCAAATTATTTCTACGCATAAATTCAAAAATGTTATGTACGAAAGCACAGCACACATGAATCACCATTATACATATGTAAGCAGGAAGCCAGAAATGTGTAATATTTCAAATGTCCTAGATTGGCTTGCTTAATTTTTTTTCGAACTGGAAATGCAGCGTTGGTGCTTAACTCCCGAAGTAAACACAAATTCTTTGTTCTGTATAGTTTTGTACTTTGACATACTTATACAAATAAAATTCGTACTTCGGTAGTATATGTACCAGGTTAGGGTTAGGCCATAATTTTATTCTAATTTACCTTATTTTAGTATACATAAATATCCAAACTAAGGCGGGCGAGATCGAATCTAACATATATTTTTATCTTCAATTAGCTTCACATTTCCTTAAATAATTGTCTGCGCTCTCCTTGTCGTGTGCGCACCGTTTGAGAACCACTGATCTTGACCCCATATGAACCCCGGTGAAGGTGAATTCCCCTCTCTCCCTTACCTCTGCAATCTTTCCAGCCAGAACATTAACAGCTGCCGAATCTGATCTTTTTCATCCTTATTTTGCATTCTTCCGATCAAGCACACTAAAGACAATTTATTATTAGAAAGACACAAAATAACTGACATTAGCTACGTTATTTCAAATGGGCCGCAGAACTTGGTTACTGGGCCGAACACTCAAAACTCAATATGAAAAACTATGAATAAAAAACAGTTTATCTATAACAGTTAGTCCAACAGTTGCAGGCTAATGTTTTTATAATAATAATAAGCATAATGTAACAATTAGGGTCTTATGACTGAATTTTCATCGATATTTTCAACTGAAATTCATATCCAAAAAAACAAACAATATTTTCAGCAAAAAAGTGGGTCGATTGAAACGAGCAGAAGGGAACATTTCAAAGAGGTCACTGTCTTTCTAGTTTGGCTTTTCCTATCTAATTAAAAGCTAAATAAAAATAAAAATGTCTGTCAGATTTAATCTTGCCGCCTTATTTTGGATATTTACAATTCTTTATTTTGGATATTGTTTTTTGAATAAAACATACTTTAAAACATCAAATCTAACATATATTTTTATCTTCAATTAGCTTCACGCCCCCTTAAATAATTGTCTGCGCTCTTCTTGTTGTGTGCGCCCACCGTTTGAGAACCACTGATCTTGATCCCGTATGAACCCCGGTGAAGGTGAATCCCCCCCTCCCTTACCTCTATCTGTTATTTGTAGCTTATTGTTAGCTACCGGTAGTTATTTTTAAAGTGGGTGTGAGACTTGACAAATTCCAAAAAGGGGGCGTGGCTTAAAAAGTTTGAAAACCACTATTTGTCGAATCTATGTTACAACAATCGATTTTTCAGAACAAAATTGGAATTGTCAAGTTTTCAGGGAAGTGAGATCTATTTGCGCGGCGGTGTGGCTCAACGGGCTAAGCCTAAGCGTTAGGAATACGCTCGCTACCGCACCTCTAATTACTCTGCGTGGGTTCGCAGGTTCGATTCCCATGCAGGGATGGTTATGTGCGAGAGGATTGCTGGACTCCTCGCCGTCGTGCGGTGGTTCACGTAACCGCTGGTCGGTTACGGCTTTCTCCACCACCAAGTTCATGCTTCCGAAAACAAACAATATAACTAATCCCATACCCGACTTGGAATGGTAACCGGACGAGAGGCCGTGGTTCGCCATATGGATAAGCCGTCTTATCGTCTTTCCTCTCCCCCCGGGATAAATACGTAAATCCTTAAATCCTTAAAATATAACACTATTGTACTTACTGACTCTATGTCCCTCTAGGTCTCTTCCATAAACGTAAATTATTCCCTTTTCCATGTATTTCTGTCCGATACTTTCAACGGAGATATCTGAATGAATTGAAGATAGAATTTATTTATTTATCTTAAAAGAGGAAAGCTGATAAGATGACTTGATCACAAGGCAAACCAAGCTGATAAGATGACTTAATCACAAGGCAAACCAAGCTGATAAGATGACTTAATCACAAGGCAAACCACAGCGTAATTTTTTCAGAGTCCTACAGGGCCTGAGATTATACCCAAAATGTCGCTGTTTTTTCAATTATTATATTCATTTTTAATATATTTCTGCCAACTAGTGTTTTTTCAGATAACCGAGACTGATTAGTTTTATCAATTACAGATGGATGAGCATGAACAATGATGTCATCAGTTATAGATGACTGATCATGTTATATGACCTTTGGTAAAAACATAACACCCTCAAGAATGAACATTTAGGAACACTGTTATATGACATTTGGTACAACATAACACCCACAAGAATGAACATTTAGGAACACTGTTATATGACATTTGGTAGAACATAACACCCACGAGAATTAACACTTAGGAACACTGTTATATGACATCTGGTAGAACATAACACCCACAAGAATTAACACTCAGAAACACTGTTATACGACATCTGGTATGACATAACACCCACAAGAATTAACACTTAGAAACACTGTTAGATGACATTTGGTAGAACATAACACCCACAAGAATTAACACTTAGGAACACTGTTATAAATTATGACATTTGGTAGAACATAACTCCCACAAGAATTAACACTTAGGAACACTGTTATATGACATCTGGTATGACATGACACCCACAAGAGTTAACACTTAGGAACATTGTTATATGACATTTGGTACAACATAACACCCGCAAGAATTAACACTTGGGAACACTGACATACGACATTTGGTACAACCCAACGTACCTCTCATTTCATTTTCTTTTCGCCACTCGAGGCATGATGCTGCTAATTCAACTGCGTCATCAATAACCTCTTTTTTCCAATGAAGGAACGAGAGTGCAAGCAAGTCATCGTTATGAATCCGCATCACATCGTGTTCGTCAAATTTGGCGAGTCGGGCAGAAGGAGGATCTGTACAATTATTAAAATGTGAGAGAAACCTAGGGGCTCCGCGAGCTATTAATTTACTTATTAAAATACTGACTTGGATAGTTTCGTAACTGTCCAAAGAAGCAACAACGGCAATGTTGAAATTCGAGAAAAATAACAAATACATCCAAATACAATTTATTTTGGGACGTCGTAAATAACAGTTAACATGTCCTTTTAACAGGCTCCATAACACCAAAAGTTTGAGAACCCGTGCTCTAGACCAGTGGTTTTCAGCCTTTTTGGTGGCGCAGAACCCTAATGCAACATTCCAAAGACTCGAGCAACCCGCGGTAAAAAAGTTGTGAGTGGAATTATGAAAGCAAGCATAATACTGGCGTAACAAAATAACAAGAGCAAAAGAAAAAAACTAGAAAAAGTCCGTTTTTTTAACAATGGAATTTTCAAGACTGTTCCATTTCTGAGTAAGTGTACGCAAACTTTCTCTGAGAAACTCCAGGATGGCGGACACCAGAATGTAGTATGTGTCCCTAGTTAGGGTTAGGCAATAAATTCAGGTACAAATACTACGGAAGTCACTTGGCTAGTCCCTGAATTCCTAATCGAACTAAAATAAGAAAAATTGGAATAACATTATGGTCTAATCCTAACCAGGTACAAATACTACTGGAGTCACATGGCCAGCCCTCAAATCGAACTAACATAAGGAAAATTGGAATAAACTTGTGGCCTAACCCTAACCAGGTACATATACTACGTTCCGGTGTCTGCAATCTTGGTTCACGCTGGAGTGCCGAAAATTTTATTAACAACAAATCGCTAAAAAAATACACACAATAGTAAAACAATACAAGAAAAATTACCAACAAATTTCTTGTTAAACTTCTCTCTCAACTCTGCGATCATTTTCGAGTCATCATTCCCGCCCGATGCAGCTGTCGCCATAATTTTTGTCGATATTGGATTGCTATTTGGTTGTATTATAATGAAATTACTAACTTGAATAAATATGAATAAAGCCTTTGGCAAACATTTGAAGAATAAAAATAAACATTACCTTAGTTAGGTGCTATAGGAAAACAAAATCAAACATAACAAAATATTGAGAATTCAGGTAATATAATCAGGGTTATAATGCAATATGTGTATATTAAGAATTACTTTTATTGTTGAATATTGTTTATTACAATATTGTTTCATTTTATAAAAAACTCAATAAAAAGAAAATTGAATAAATCTCGGGTATGATATTAGTTGCCAAGTTATTTGTTCCAGATGCATGGATTTGATGGTGGGAGTAGCAAACAGCCCTACGTTTAGCACAATGCACGAGTCTGGTGTAGTTTCGTACCTAAAGTACCGGTACTTCTAGTGGGCGTAGCATAACATTTTTTGCATATGTCAATCCTAACCCCCACCTGACTATGTCATGCACTTAAGGTATGAAACAACATAAGACCCCAATGCACAATACCGCTTTTTATCAGCACATTTGGTTCAATAAAACAAACACTCTTATTTGTCTCTGAAACGGGGGCGCTTACCACAACGACAAATGCGTCAGATTGCGCCAGGCTTGTCTCGATAATAATAAAAATTAATCATGCATGTCACATAACCAAAATTTTTTTTTGCGGAAAACTCACAAATGCTAACAGTATACATTTCTCTTTGGTAAATCAAGATTATTTTCCCAAATAATCCAATGGTTTTTAGATTGTGCTTCCTTTTAGTTTATTGTGCCAAGCTGGGTTGTCGATTTGGGAGCCCATACTGTCTCGTAAAGGGGGGGTTTGTAAATACTGTTATAATTGATGTCTTTCACTGTGGGGGCTTTTTATACTGTACTGTTGGATGCTAAAAACCATTGTCAGCACCAGGATGGTGAGCCAAGAGTTCTCAACCTTCCACCTGTTTGTTCTTTAATCCTTATCGCCCTGGTGGAGTAAATGAGCCCCATCAACTACGCATACCGTACTGCAGTACCGGTACTGGTACAGTCTAGTACAAGAGTCCATAATCAGCATAACAGACGATAAAATAATTAATAAAAGCAAATGAATAAAAAGTGATTACCGATACCTGGATACCGTATAATTTAAGTGACGACAGACGCTAGTCTAGCTACCTTATTATAGCCTATTTCATAATAATACCACTAGCATACCTGGATGGAATTCTTGTATTCTATCGTCTGTTATGCTGATTATGGAGTCGAAATAAACTTATACTCATACTTATATACTTCCCATGAGCAGCGACGCGCTCGATCTGGGCCGCAACCAAGACGCGAGTGCAAAGTCTGAAGAGCAAACAATAAAAACAACCGAAGCACCGAAAGTAGGCGTTGCGTAATCGCCTTCACGGTTTAATAGCATTGAGGTGCACAGTATATCAGGGCTTCCCAAACTTCTGAGCTCGCGGCCCTTTTGAAATATGAAATTTGTTCGCGGCCCCTGTTCACGTTAAAATAATGCTAAACATTTCGAAATATTTTATTGACACAGTCAATTCTCAACTTTTGGTAGGCCTACTGGATAACAAAAACAAATTCACTTTTACTCCGATTAACACAACTTAATTATTCAGTGTGATGAGTGCGAATGTTTTGCAGCAAGTCCTGCCGTGGCTTAATGTTTGTCGATTGAAGGCCTCAATGAATTACGATGTCTGGCCACCGACGGCATGGTACTTATCAGGCTTTGTTACTCACTTTCAATGATCCAATTTAGCATAAGCACACTTAGCAAAGCGCCTTCGGGAACCGCTGGCATAACGATTAAAACCGACATCGTTGTGCAATCAAATCGGGTTTACAATCAGTATAGCCAGCGTTTCCCAAACTGTGTTAGCGTCTTCCGAGTGTTCCGTGGAGAAGGAATCAAATATATCGCCATTATGATCTAGGGATCGTGAAGTTGTCGCCAAACTGACCGTTCAATATCGCGTTATCGTCGGCCTAAAGCGGACTAACTGAGGTAGAGTAGTGGCATTTTCGTGACCGTCGGCGTAGCTTTTTGACTGTTAAGTCTACATAGACTTACCATACGTCCCGTTTTAGGCGGGACAGTCCCACTTTTTAACGTTTTGTCCCGGCGTCCCGACCGGTCAGCCAAAAGTCCCACTTTGGCGTTCACCCAGTCAGGATGATACATGAACATTACCAATTAGCATGTTCTCGATACTGTTGTTGCTGTGTGGCGTACCGGTGGTAGCATACTTAATGAAGGTGGATGCGTGGTTTTGTTTTTGTTTCGTTGTTTTCCGCTAACATTATTAGCGGTTAATTGCTACAATTTGTTACGTGTAAGCCCCATACGTCAAAAGGGCGCTTAACGTAAAGTCCTTTATACTTATTGAATTGAAACCGATGAAGACAGCCGGGATGGTTTAAAATGTGTGCCTAATGTAAAATCGGTAAATTTAAAGTTGAAAAAAACACAGCTATGGCCTTTGGAGGCGTCCCGCTTTGAGGTCACAAAAATATGGTAACCCCAAGTTTACAGCAATCCTTTTGGTTTTGTTATAAGCAAACAAGTAGGTCTAAAAAATAAAGGCAAAAGGTCAACTCTTCTTCCTCCGTCTCTGCCTGGTTTTACTATGAAATGTTGGAAAATTACTCATGTTCGCTAAATTCAATTCAGCAGATAAATAAACTGCAGCTCGCGAAATTGCAGCAAGTAGGCTACTTTTATCTCCATTAGAGGTAAAATTGGAGGCAAACACTACGTGATGAAAAGTAAACGACATAGACAGGTAAAAAATTGTGAATTGGTGAATTTATTGATTCATATACACAGTATTTAAATTAGGAAACAATAAAACATTTACAATAAATGCAATATGTAAAATATTCAATCATATTTCAGGTATGTTTAACCGTAGTAGTATATATTTACGGTTTAACACAATTCTGTTAGTTTTCGCGGCGCATTTGGCAACTTTACACCGTTTTTTTTTATCAATTTTAGCTTTCCATTTTTGGTGTTCCGTGAGGCGAGATAAAAAGTGTTAGTGTTCCGTGGCCGAAAAAGTTTGGGAAACGCTGGTATAGACATTGTTAATTTTTTCATTGCAATTTTTTTTTTGACCCAGTTGATAGCAAGAAATCTTTACTACTCCTTTTTAACGGTTAATAATCTGTTTAGCATAGGGTCACCATATTTGAAAAAGCAAAATTCCGGACAGTCCATGACTATTTTCATGTCCTCGTATAAAAAATATGCGCACGGTACGAAATAACAATGTTCTGTATTAGCAGTGTGCACAGTACGATTGCAGATGCAGTAAAATTCCGGATTCCGGACATTTGAGCATTTTTAAAATTCTTCCCGGACGCAAAATTGAACCCGAAATTCCGGACATGTCCGGAATTTTCCGGACGGTATGGCAACCCTAGTTTAGCAGTTATTTTAAATAAAAACGTGTTATTTATAAGTAAGTGGAAATCGCATTTCCTATTTTGAATATTTAAAATTCACGTAATTCCCCAATTTGTAAATTTGTTAGTAAAAAATGAAAATAAAACCATCCCCCCAAAATAATCCCCGGTGTTATTTTTCGAAAAAAAATTGGAGACACTGTCTTATATTCTGGGAAACAGGGTAAGACTTGTTTTAATAATTGTATTTAGAATCAAGAGTCTGAAAAGATGCAAAGTACTTTGTGTAAAATTGGTGTTCTCCTTGCGGCCCCCAAAATTCGTTTCGCGGCCCCTAGTTTGGGAAGCTCTGCAGTATATAACTAGAGTGCGCATTGGCGGCGCTAGACGTTTGTGATTTCGTGCCGAATTAATGGTTGCGGCGGCCATCTTGGCAAGCGCGACTTTCTTCTCGCGGATGCTGTGAGGAGGTTGGATTTACCATGTCAACGGTGCAAAATGTAAGATAATTTGAAAAAATTCATCGTTCTGGGCGTTGTAGTGGATTTTCACGCTATTGTTGGTGGTTTAGCCATTAACTTGGAAATTGATAACACAAAACATGTATGCACAGAAGTTGGAGATTCAAGTTTTGAAAGCCATGTGGGTACGGTGCCGAATTTGGTCTAGCTTGTGAAATACAAGTAAAATTTATATGTGATCGGTACAGATAATGGTGGTAATACCATGACACATAATATATGGAACCACGTTCTGTCCATGAAGTCGGCTGAAATGCACCGTTTTGCAAGATTGTTGAAATACCTCCCCCTCTCCCCCGGGATAAATATGTAAATCCTATACCGTAATATACCGGTATCTCAATAGCTTATGATGTTTTGCTCAATTCTGATGTGTTTATACCTAATGCCATGCCAGTCTAGGTCTGAATCAATCAAATTGGAAACTGTTGAATAACTTTTAAAGGGTTCCCAGAGATACAACATTCATCCATGTAAAAGCGAAATACCATTAAGATATTTTACCTCTAATTTTAATTATTAGGTGAAAGTGTGAAGTGAATCAAGTCATTTGTTGCCGCCTACTCCCGAAGTGTCTCCAGTCCTTCAACTAAACTGTTTTTCTACTTACACAGCACAAGGCACATTCATTTCATTTCGCTTATTTTTTGTGAAAATTGGTAATGCAATTAAAACTTATAAAAAGTATGCAAGCTCTCGTTCTATTTGAGATACACCGGGTATGCAAGAAACTAATTTCCGTAGAGTAGACAATATTAGAATAAGAAGAATCAAGTCTGAAACCATAAATTTAACGTGTCACGAATCACGAAAGTTTTGAAAGTATAATGGAATCTTGAACCGCCAAATTAGACCGATGTTTTGAATTCATTAATACAGAATGTTCTAAATTAAGGTCCTGTTCAATAGTCAAATCTAGCAAAAACAGTCTATTTTTGTCACGCTGCAAGTTGTGCGCCGTGACAGCTGAAATGCTCAAAATTGAAATTTATAGGGACGTGTAAAAAGAGAAATAAGCAGAAATGGGTCCCAGGCTCTAAACATGACTCTCCCGGGCTCTGCTGAAATTTCGGAATACAAGTGTCAACTTTGACATGGGTGGATATAAGCTACATTAAATGTATGCCTTACAAAATTGGTAGGAATTAGCAGAATAAAAGTGAAAAGTAAGGGCAAATGCTTTCAATTCAGGAAGATATATTTTTGTGGGTGGGCCCATCAAAAATTCGCTTAAAAAAATCGCCGAAGGTACAAGTGAGAAGGACTGCAGCAAAAGTTCTTCACACCTAGTGGTGATTAAATTTCTTTTTTGTATTGATTTTATAACAGTGTTATTTTGAAGTAATATTTACAGTCGCTCTGACTTTTGCTTGGGGACTTTCAGCTTTTTCCTGGTAGCCTCCAGTTGTTCTGTTTTTATTTCCAATTTTTTAAAAAACCTGTGAAGACTTGTACTGCAGCTGTAAGAATGGTCATGATAGGGTAAATATATTTCTGTTCACAAGTCTCAACTTCATTTGGAATATCAGCTTCAACGGTGAAGTACGGCAAGCTTGGGGCTTGCGTGAAGTGGTGAACCGAAATGTAAAACGATACAGGTGTTCAAGAGGTTTTCAAACATAATGCAAAAGGTGTTAGGTAGTAAAAAATAACGCAGACCTTTCGACTTACGCGTGGCGTAGAAACTTCAAAGTCGGCAAAATGCAAAACCACGAAATTGCTTTCAAATATGCGATGGTTGAGTCAAGGTTCATTTTAAGTCCGAAATGTGGTTTTAAAACTTTAAAGGCATTTATATTTTAAAAGAATCGTCTAGCGGCCGTTGCTAAAAACAATTTCATGGAGCTATATATTTACAGTACTTTGTTATGTTCTTGTCTGAGACGCATTACTCATTTTTTGCTGAATATCCTCACGAATTATGCAGGTGATGTAGCACTAGGAAATCAAGTGAGGTGCAACGCCGGTACCGTACGACTTAACCGGAATACCGGTAGGTGCTCGCCACTGATACAGTCTAGTAATTCTGTAATAATTAGTTCAAAAGATCCAATGTGCTGCAAAGACACACAAATAGGTTCGAAGTTCACGATGCAAACGAAGAGACTTTATTAAAATAGTGTAAAATCCACACTTGTCTTAAAGCAGATAATATAAGAGCGACAAAATACGGTCCTTACTCAGCGACAGCAAAAGCAAAGAAGAAAGAAAGACACTGCCAATCCGAAGCTGTTCACATATGCAGTGGTGGTTGGAGTCGAGTAACTGAATACAACTATTGGGCGAATTAGGGCTCAGACTCCAGGATAGGATAGGATTTACATATTTATCCAGGGGGAGAGGAAAGCCGATAAGACGGCTTATCCATATGGCGAACCACGGCCTCTCGCCCGGTTACCATTCCAAGTCGGGTATGGGATTAGTTTTACTGTATTGTTTGTTTTCGGAAGCATGGACTCCACACACAAATGCATATGCAATAATTAGACAAGAAATATAAATAAAATAATAAACAATAAAAAATAGTACAACTCCAGTCCCGCCACAAAGGGAAGGCGATCGTACTATTTTAGTCGCGTTACTTATGCGCGCGCGACGCAAACTTCCTATGCCTACAAAATGTAAATTGATTACGCAAACTGGTTTTTCCAACACAGCAGCGTAAGTGGCGCACAAAAACATTTCAGTCTAAACGCGAAAAATTTCACTGTCTTGGAGGGAAATGACGTAAATGGTAACATATGGTCGGCTTGAGGTATGAATACTAGTAATTTTAACATATATAGGAACAGGAATGTATAATGGTGGTAGTCGTGCTAGGAAGTTTCAGGGAAAATTTTAAGTCGGCGCATTGTCGTCAGGCACGCAAGGTATATTTGATAGTTGTCGTTCGTTAAGACTAGTTCGTTGGGTCATGCGTAATTCAAAATCACTGAGCTTCATTAAGTGTCGCTCCAGCTATTATGCCTTTTATGCTCTCGCGTTAGATATTGTCATTTTGCATTCAGCTCACTTTGGGCGAATATTTTAAACATGCCAATTACGGCAGTTAGCTTTCAGGACCTATAATAACCTTAAATTTTTTTACAGATATTTGCTATATAGCTAAATATATAATATCGTCACCAAACCATTCTAGAAGCAAACATGGAATTCGTCAAAATAATTTTTTTCATCTCTCTCATCTGTGCCTCTTATGCAAAGATAAAAGTACCCGGTAAGATAAGTTTTGGATGTAATTACTTGTTAGTAATTGCTACACTGGCTTGCAGACAATTTTTTGTTTACGCCTACCACTGGCTGGTGCTAGGGGGCTAGAATGCTTATAACAAATCATTTCAAATGTTTTTTACATTCAATCAGTGGTCTGACGACATTTTTAGATCTTGTCGCAAAATGTTCTTGATTTATTTAACTGCAAAATACTTCGTTTTATATTTGACAGCTGGAGCCTGCGTTTCCAAAATCGTGAATGGGAAACTCGTTCAAGTTGGAGATTGCGAGGTAAAATTGCTATTTTTTATCAAGCGTTTTCTCATCCAATTCTAAATAAGGCCCCGGGGAGCCACAAATTGATACTACTAATTAGACTTAGAGGAACGGAAGCTTCCCGGTTTGGCATTGCTTTGCTTTATTTTACACATTGTGCTAGAGCTAGGCATTTGAAACAGAAATTTTTATGGGTCTAACGGTCGAACTACCTCAGCATCGATCCAAAAACTTTAAAAGCTCTCTATATTCGCTCGAAAAGCAACTAATATATTATGATACGTGTATATTCACTTTACTAATCATCTGCATTTTGTATTTCTTTCACAGAAAAACGATGGATCCGGTGAGTTATCATATATCTTGGGTTCAAAAGTATTTACTCTGGTGGCCACATGATACACTTTTATTTATAATTACGGAATGATTCTAACATTTTATTGAGGTTAATGTCAAATAACGTAACCTGTGGTCACAGTTTTTTCAAAAGAATCCTTTTCATTTTCATTCTGAATAAGGCTCAGAACAAGCATCCATTATTTGTTGAAACGCCACTGGCTTAGGATTTTTATTTATTACACTTTGGGTGTGGCGGTTGCATTGTGCCTGTTTCAACCTTGAAAAGAAATTTTGGCAAAACTTATTCACAAAGATTTTTTTGACTGAAATTATATATTAGGATTTACTTAGACCTGCAAAATATATTTTTAACTACATTTTTATATAGTGTTGTAATACCAAAGTTACTTATGGTCCTAAGAGAAAAACTCTGGAAAATATACAATAGCAAAAACTGATTTAAAACACTTTACCCTGCACACAAGCAAAACATATCAATTTTCTTACAGATATCGTCAGACTGATCAAGAAGAGTCGTGATGAGAAGATAAAGGCTGAAAGTAATTAGGCTTCCCGCTGCTTGTCAGCAGGGAACCTATTGTATTCCTGTGTTTTATTATTATTAGGCTTCCCGCTGCTTGTCAGCAGGGAACCTATTGTATTCCTGTGTTTTATTATTATTATTAATATTAGGCTTCCCGCTGCTTGTCAGCAGGGAACCTATTGTATTCCTGTGTTTTATTATTATTATTTATTATTATTATTTATTATTATTATTTATTTTTATTATTTTTTTTTCAAATTGGTCCTACAAACTTGAAATTCACCTCAAATGTGCAGAAGTTCTCAACTAGCAATAAAATGCAAATTGTATGCATGACTGACCGCGCTTTCACGCTCCAGTGAGCAAAACGCGTTTTCAGTTTTTTTGCGATTTCTCAAAATTGATACATGCTATTGGGTTGAAATTCATAACAATGATTAATGGACTTGTTCCGGATACGATATGTCAAGGATACGCATGAGTGACCTCGGCGATACGCTCCAGTGAGCAATATAGGATTTTACATTTTCATCTTCTTCTCGTGAACGACACTACTTAGAGACTTGAAATTTACATCACATGCAGATAATAAGTCCCCCATCATAAATTGCAAATTTTATGCATGACTGACCACGGTTTCACGCACCAGTGAGCAAAACGCGTCTTCAGTTTTTTTGCGATTTCTCAAAATTGATACATGCTATTGGGTTGAAATTCATAACAATGATTAATGGACTTGTTCCGGATACGTTATGTCAAGGATACGCATGAGTGACCTCGGCGATACGCTCCAGTGAGCAATATAGGATTTTACATTTTCATCTTCTTCTCGAGAACAACACTACTTAGAGACTTGAAATTTGCATCACATGCAGATAATAAGTCCCCCATCATAAACTGCAAATTTTATGCATGACTGACCACGCTTTCACGCTCCATTGAGCAAAACGCGTCTTCAGTTTTTTTTACGCGGGAAGCCTGTTAAAGCTGCACGCAGCTCTAGTTATTATTTATTTATTATTATTAGGCTTCCCGCTGCTTGTCAGCAGGGAACCTATTGTATTCCTGTGTTTTATTATTATTATTATTATTATTATTTATTTATTATTATTAGGCTTCCCGCTGCTTGTCAGCAGGGAACCTATTGTATTCCTGTGTTTTATTATTATTATTATTTATTTATTATTATTATTATTTATTTATTATTATTATTATTTATTTATTATTAGGCTTCCCGCTGCTTGTCAGCAGGGAACGTATTGTATTCCTGTGTTTTATTATTATTATTATTATTATTATTTATTTATTATTATTAGGCTTCCCGCTGCTTGTCAGCAGGGAACCTATTGTATTCCTGTGTTTTATTATTATTATTATTTATTTATTATTATTATTATTTATTTATTATTATTATTTATTTTTATTATTTTTTTTTCAAATTGGTCCTACAAACTTGAAATTCACCTCAAATGTGCAGAAGTTCTCAGCTAGCAATAAAATGCAAATTTTATGCATGACTGACCACGCTTTCACGCTCCAGTGAGCAAAACGCGTCTTCAGTCTTTTTGCGATTTCTCAAAATTGATACATGCTATTGGGTTGAAATTCATAACAATGATTATTGGACATGTTCCGGATACAATATGTCAAGGATACGCATGATTGATCTTGGCGATACGCTCCAGTGAGCAATATAGGATTTTACATTTTCATCTTCTTCTCGAGAACGACACTACTTAGAGACTTGAAATTTACATCACATGCAGATAATAAGTCCCCCATCATAAATTGCAAATTTTATGCATGACTGACCACGCTTTCACGCTCCAGTGAGCAAAACGCGTCTTCGTTTTTTTTTTTACGCGGGAAGCCTGTTAAAGCTGCACGCAGCTCTAGTTAGGCTTCCCGCTGCTTGTCAGCAGGGAACCTATTGTATTCCTGTGTTTTATTATTATTATTTATTATTATTATTTATTATTATTATTTATTTTTATTATTTTTTTTTCAAATTGGTCCTACAAACTTGAAATTCACCTCAAATGTGCAGAAGTTCTCAACTAGCAATAAAATGCAAATTGTATGCATGACTGACCGCGCTTTCACGCTCCAGTGAGCAAAACGCGTTTTCAGTTTTTTTTGCGATTTCTCAAATTGATACATGCTATTGGGTTGAAATTCATAACAATGATTAATGGACTTGTTCCGGATACGATATGTCAAGGATACGCATGAGTGACCCCGGCGATACGCTCCAGTGAGCAATATAGGATTTTACATTTTCATCTTCTTCTCGTGAACGACACTACTTAGAGACTTGAAATTTACATCACATGCAGATAATAAGTCCCCCATCATAAATTGCAAATTTTATGCATGACTGACCACGCTTTCACGCTCCAGTGAGCAAAACGCGTCTTCAGTTTTATTGCGATTTCTCAAAATTGATACATGCTATTGGGTTGAAATTCATAACAATGATTAATGGACTTGTTCCGGATACGTTATGTCAAGGATACGCATGAGTGACCTCGGCGATACGCTCCAGTGAGCAATATAGGATTTTACATTTTCATCTTCTTCTCGAGAACAACACTACTTAGAGACTTGAAAATTTGCATCACATGCAGATAATAAGTCCCCCATCATAAACTGCAAATTTTATGCATGACTGACCACGCTTTCACGCTCCATTGAGCAAAACGCGTCTTCAGTTTTTTTTACGCGGGAAGCCTGTTAAAGCTGCACGCAGCTCTAGTTATTATTTATTTTTATTATTTTTTTTCAAATTGGTCCTACAAACTTGAAATTCACCTCAAATGTGCAGAAGTTCTCAGCTAGCAATAAAATGCAAATTTTATGCATGACTGACCACGCTTTCACGCTCCAGTGAGCAAGATGCGATTTCATTTTTTTTGCGATTTCTCAAAATTGATACTGCTATTGGGTTGAAATTCATAACAATGATTGATGGACATGTTCCGGATGCGATATGTCAAGGATACGCATGAGTGACTTCGGCGATACGCTCCAGTGAGCAATATAGGATTTTACATTTTCATCTTCTTCTCGAGAACGACACTACTCAGAGACTTGAAATTTACATCACATGCAGATAATAAGTCCCCCATGATAAATTGCAAATTTTATGCATGACTGACCACGCTTTCACGCTTCAGTGAGCAAAACGCGTTTTCAGTTTTTTTGCGATTTCTCAAAATTGATACATGCTATTGGGTTGAAATTCATAACAATGATTAATAAACATGTTCCGGATACGCTATGTCAAGAATACGCATGAGTGACCTCGGCGATACGCTCCAGTGAGCAATATAGGATTTTTCATTTTCATCTTCTTCTCGAGAACGACACTACTTAGGGACTTGAAATTTACATCACATGCAAATAATAAGTCCCCCATCATAAATTGCAAATTTTATGCATGACTGACCACGCTTTCACGCTCCAGTGAGCAAAACGCCTTTTCCAGTTTTTTTGCGATTTCTCAAAATTGATACATGCTATTGGGTTGAAATTCATAACAATGATTAATGGACTTGTTCCGGATACGATATGTCAAGGATACGCATGAGTGACCCCGGCGATACGCTCCAGTGAGCAATATAGGATTTTACATTTTCATCTTCTTCTCGTGAACGACACTACTTAGAGACTTGAAATTTACATCACATGCAGATAATAAGTCCCCCATCATAAATTGCAAATTTTATGCATGACTGACCACGCTTTCACGCTCCAGTGAGCAAAACGCGTCTTCAGTTTTTTTGCGATTTCTCAAAATTGATACATGCTATTGGGTTGAAATTCATAACAATGATTAATGGACTTGTTCCGGATACGTTATGTCAAGGATACGCATGAGTGACCTCGGCGATACGCTCCAGTGAGCAATATAGGATTTTACATTTTCATCTTCTTCTCGAGAACAACACTACTTAGAGACTTGAAATTTGCATCACATGCAGATAATAAGTCCCCCATCATAAACTGCAAATTTTATGCATGACTGACCACGCTTTCACGCTCCATTGAGCAAAACGCGTCTTCAGTTTTTTTTACGCGGGAAGCCTGTTAAAGCTGCACGCAGCTCTAGTTATTATTTATTTTTATTATTTTTTTTTCAAATTGGTCCTACAAACTTGAAATTCACCTCAAATGTGCAGAAGTTCTCAGCTAGCAATAAAATGCAAATTTTATGCATGACTGACCACGCTTTCACGCTCCAGTGAGCAAAACGCGATTTCATTTTTTTTGCGATTTCTCAAAATTGATACATGCTATTGGGTTGAAATTCATAACAATGATTGATGGACATGTTCCGGATGCGATATGTCAAGGATACGCATGAGTGACTTCGGCGATACGCTCCAGTGAGCAATATAGGATTTTACATTTTCATCTTCTTCTCGAGAACGACACTACTCAGAGACTTGAAATTTACATCACATGCAGATAATAAGTCCCCCATGATAAATTGCAAATTTTATGCATGACTGACCACGCTTTCACGCTCCAGTGAGCAAAACGCGTTTTCAGTTTTTTTGCGATTTCTCAAAATTGATACATGCTATTGGGTTGAAATTCATAACAATGATTAATAAACATGTTCCGGATACGCTATGTCAAGAATACGCATGAGTGACCTCGGCGATACGCTCCAGTGAGCAATATAGGATTTTTCATTTTCATCTTCTTCTCGAGAACGACACTACTTAGGGACTTGAAATTTACATCACATGCAAATAATAAGTCCCCCATCATAAATTGCAAATTTTATGCATGACTGACCACGCTTTCACGCTCCAGTGAGCAAAACGCCTTTTCCAGTTTTTTTGCGATTTCTCAAAATTGATACATGCTACTGGGTTGAAATTCATAATAATGTTTAATGGACATGTTCCGGATACGATATGTCAAGGATACGCATGAGTGACCTCGGCGATACGCTCCAGTGAGCAATATAGGATTTTACATTTTCATCTTCTT